GCATTCAGCCGGTCGCATAGGAAAGCTTACCCCATTGATAAACATAGCAGTTTCTCTGAAACTGCTATGTTTATAAAAGAATGGGTTAAGCCTAGCTGAAGTGGTCTGGGTGCCTAGAGTGGTCCTTTAAAGGAAAATTACGGTTGGTAAGGTAACCCACCAAACTTAATGTGTTAAAAACGGCAGCTATAGGCTACAATGCTGTACAGTAAATGTACTATTGCCAACAGTTATGTGCTCCTAACAGTAATGCAATTCGGTATGACTGTATGATTCAAATGCTGTGGATACTCCAAACTGTTAAATCAGCTAAACAATACTTGCTAAAGTTTGTTGGAGAATTCCATGCTGTACAGCAGTGCAACAAGTGTTAAATTATTATATTCACAACCTATGTTTTCTTTGCTAAAAGTTATAGTTACTTTTGTGACCAACTCAATGTACCTTTGGCTAAACTCTTGAAGGTAGGAAAGGATTTCTATGCTGAGTAACCTATAAACGAGCTTTTAAATCTCCTATGGTTAGAGCAATATGCCACTAAGACAGTAAATGGTGATGAAAGTGTTAATAGCTGAACGTGGTTAGTGCACAAACTGACAGTTTTCTTTTAATTTAGTTCCATATTAAAAGCTAAGTTTTAGAATCTTGTGAAATTGGTAATTAGTTACCTTATTCTTCCCATTCCGTTTCTCTCCTGAGAGAGGGAAACTCACTCTATTAGGATAATTTACTTATTCCTATTTTTCTCCTGCTTGCTCTCTACTTTTGTATTTTTGGTGAAGAAATTCACTAGGGGTTAACCCCCACTTAGGAGAAATTTATTAAAACATCCCCCCTTTCCCCTTGTTTTTCATACTTCCTGATATTATTTTTAAACCTTTGCCCCTCTAATTTAACACTATGTCCCCTTGTCGTGGTAGTTTTTCTTCTTTTAAATATAGTCTTCTCCTTTACTGTGTTGATAAAACATAGAATGATGGTAAAGATCACCAACGCTAGATGAATTGCTAAGCAACATGTAACACATAAAGTGTTGAAAGAACGGTGTTGTCAGAATCCCCTGTTTCAGCCAAGCAATATATGACTGTATTTTACTAAAAGACACTTCTGGTCTACCACCTGTGCAGTAAGGGATCCACCTGTAACAGCTCAGCTACATCTCCATCTCCATCACTAGCAGAAACTCAGACTATGAACCAACCAACCAACCAACCACAGAACATGTCACAACCAAGGAAGCTAACTTGAGGTTTTTAAACGTATACTGGTATTGTATATTTTGTAGGATATCTATAACTCTTTTCATACTCCACCAGTAGTCCTCCTAAACATATACCCATGAAATTAGTTAAACCAGCTCCTGAACACTGCTGGTGACAGTTTGTGGTCTTTGCATATTTTGCAAGGTCCCCCGATGGCCACATTGCCACTTGCATTGCAGTGACTGCGGGTTGCAGGGGAAGATGTGTTTAACTTATCTGAAGCCGTTCTTCTGAGACTGCTGCCATCTTCATCTGGTGGATACTTTACAGCTCCTGGGGTTTCATCTGCCAGAGGCACACGTCAGTGCTGTACTCTTGTGCATATTTAAAAGTACAACACAGAGATCTATGGAGGATCCTATAATACGTGGGAACATTCATGGACAATGCATTTTCTTCCCACTGGTAACTGCTATGGGAAATGATAAAACTCAATGGCAGTAGCTCCACCTTTTGTCAAATTTTATCAGGCATATAGAATATACATAAAACAAAGTAGTCCCTACTTAGTCTCATATCATCTTTTAATTGGGTTGGAATTTCAGTGAAATTCAGTGAAATTCAAACACAGCCAATAGGAATATTTCATAAATATTTTATCTTTATGAAATATTCATTTTGGGGTGGGGACGTGACAGTGCTGCTTTAACCTGCAGGAGATACACAAGACTTATTATCCTATCAAAGTCATCTTGAAGTCTGGTGGAAAAAACCCCAGATACAAACACATCCATTAGAAGAAATATTTATTATGACAAGCCAAACATTCCACTGAAACTGCGCTTAAAGGTGTCTTGCTAACCCAGCTAACAGGAAGGAAACCTATTTTAATGTACCACAGATTATGGTCCAGGGGAAGTGTCTGTTTAGTTATTCAAGGATCTAACTTGTTGAGATTGTTGAAAAATAATCTGTTGACCACAAGTCCGTTAGACGGAGCTGGGAAGTAGAAGGGGAAGGTCACAGAGTCTGGCACAGATTTTGCAGCAACAGCAAAAGTATATATTCTGATTAATGGGTTACTTAGACCTGTAATGTAGACAAAGAGCTGCTTTGTGCTGTAAACATATGGTCGTTGAGTAAACAAGGTGAAGTTAATTTATTGTTACATTCACCTTCTTAAGTTTGAAAATAGTTAAACCAGTATGGTGGTTGGCAGAGGTGAACTGTGCAAACATCTACTGTTTAAAGGATATCACAATAGCTTATGGTACATGTTTTTTTTTTTTTTATCCCATATTTTTTTTTTTTTTTTGCATTTTGTAGTATCAACATACCAAAAATCATCTTGTACAGTAGGAGATTGTAACAATGGATAGAATTTACATACATATATCCAGTAGTACATATGTCATAAGATTGCTACCAGTTGATACGTTTGGTTCCATTATAATACAACGAACAATGCAACAGTAACATAAGGGGGGGGGGTAGAGAGGAAGGGATCGGAGGAGGAGGGGAGAGGAGGTCAGCATGCTCAGTTAAGAGCAGATGGAGTTGGAGTTGTGCCTAACCCAGTGTGGTTCGAGTCCCACTATGTGTCGCCCATGTCGGGTTTGGACAGTATTGGTCAATATGGTAGGTGGGAGGCTGGGTGTCGCTGTGGAGGAAGTGTGCCTCTCAATTTTGTATGTTGAAGTGGTGTCCTGTTTAAGTGGTGTCATGTTGCGGTGATTCGGAGGTTCCCCCTTTTGTTGGCCCCATCATGTACGTTTCCCACGTGTCCCAGGCTACCGCTATAAATTGTTTAGGTGGTGTATTTTTACGTGCCATTAGTTCGTATTGTCTCGTCATCTGTAGTGCTCTGATACATTGGGACAGGTGTGGTGGAACTGGATTTCGCCATAATCTGCTTATCGCCTGTAGTGCTGCTACAATGATGTGGTAGATGAGGTATACTTGGGGTTTCGTGAGATTTTTGGGAAGTAGTTGCAACAGATAGACTTCAGGGTTCTGTGGTAGGTGGACACCTGTGCTGTCTTGGATTAGTTGTATTATATCGTCCCAGTATGGTTTCAGTTTTGGGCATGTCCACCAAATGTGTATCATGGACCCTTTGCCGTCTGTACAACGCCAGCACGTGTCCGATATGTTTGGGTTCCCTTTGTGGAGCCTTGTGGGGACCATGTACCACCTATATAGTATTTTACGCGTGATCTCTGTGTGGGAGGCACACAATGAGAGGTTCCTGTGTCCCTTAAATATTTTGGCCCATTGGATCTCAGATAAGTGAGTTGTCAGATCACGGTCCCACGCTTTTGTGAAGGTGAAGGTATGTGGGCCTTTTGTGGAATTGTATATGGCGTGAATTAATGAGATAAGTTTTTTCTTTGGTTTTAGGTTGAGGCATATTAATTCTAGTTCTGTCATTTGTAGCCCAGCCTCCGGATGATAAGAACAGATCGTTTGCGTCCTGAGCCATGACGCTAATTGCCTATATGAGAAGTGAGCTGTGTCTGGAAGCCCATATTGTTTTTGGATCTCAGTGAATGTGTTCAAAGTTGGGTTATGGTACATGTTTAACAAAAACGTAGAACTGTGTTTGGTGATAAATGTGTATGTATTCTGTTTACATTGAGCGATAAGAGATAAAAATCGTGTCTATTGTGCTATAATTATTTTGTAGTAATAATTAATTGTGGAAGATCGAGGTTATCTACATATGCTATTGTAAGTATATAATCCACTAGAACTTTTTTCAGTTCTCATAATTTAATTGGTCATATTATATTTTAGATCAGGGGTAGGGAACCTTTTATCTGCCAAGGGCCATTTGGATATTTAAAACATCATTCGCCGGTAATACACAATTATCAACTTAAAAATTAGCCTGCTGTATTTGGTCAAACATTTAATTAACTCACTCCTAATGTGATGGCTGGAACTGCTTCTCTTTGGTGTGATGTTAGCTGGTATTGATGATGTATGCAGTGTGTGTGTGTGTGTGTGTGTGTGTGTGTGAGGGCTGCAGTGTGTTAAGGGTGCAGTGTGTGTGTGAGAAAGGGGTGCAGTGTATATGTGAGGGGGTGTAGTGTTTGTGTGATGAGTTCTGGGTGTGTGAGGGGTTCTGTGTGTGAGGGGTGTAGTATTTGTGAGAGGGGTACAGAGTGTTTGTGAGGGGTGCATTGTGTGTGTGAGGGGTGTAGTGTGTTTGTGTGAGGGATGCTGTGTGTGTGTGAGGGATACGGTGTTTGTGTGAGGGGTCCAGAGTGTGTGTGACAGGTGCAGTGTGTTTGTGTGAGGGTTTGTGTGTGAGGGGTTGTGTGTGTGTAAGGGGTGCTGTGTGTTGGTGTGAGGGGGTGTAGTGTGTGAGGGGGTATGTGAGAGGGGTCCAGAGTGTGTGTGAGGGGGTGCAGTGTGTTTGTGTGAGGGGTTCTGTGTGTTACAGATGCTGTGTGTGTGTGTGAGAGGGGTTCTGTGTTTGTGTGAGGGTTGTAGTGTGTTTGTGGTATGCTGTGTTTGTGAGAAGGGTCCAGTGTGTTTGTGTGAGGGGTTCTGTGTTTGTGTGAGGGGTTCGGTGTGTGAGGGGGTGTAGTGTGTTTGTGTGGATTTGGGGTAGTGCACTGGTAACTTTTCAGTTTTTCAAACACGATAAATGCCTCTATTTCACTGAAAAAAACAGCACTTTATTCCATCCTGATAACTTTTTTTTAGTAAAGTGGTTATCATTTCTGGTTCTGGACAGTCAAATTTACCAGGGTGTCACTCACTGATTGGTAATAAAAGAAGAGCCACAGTAATTTTTTTAATATTTGTATTTAACAGAAAACTGATGCCTAGCACACAAGTGAATGAGAACATGTAATGACAATAAAAACTCACACACTGATGGCTGCAATTTAATATTTTATTAGAGTTACAATCCTTCCAATGTACATCATGCTGTAAACATCAAAAAGACAACCTCCAGAATTTATGCTTCATTCTCCACCATTTTCACTGGAAGTACATTAGCACTAGGAGAAACCAGCAGTTAAAGGGACATTCCAGTGCCAGGAAAACATCATTTTCCCTCCCTCCCACCCCCCATCCCATATTGCTGAAGGGGTGAAAACCCCTTCAGTGACTTACCTGGGACCACCGCCGATGTCCCTTGGCAGTAGTTTAGGGTCCGTCAGCCGGCGGGGGAGTCCGATTGCGCATGCACAGCCGCCGGCGGGATGAGACCTAATGTGCATGCCGCGCACGCACATTAGACCTCCCCATAGGAAAGCATTGAAAATGCTTTCAATGCTTTCCTATGGGGATTTTAGCGACGCTGGAGGTCCTTACATAGCGTGAGGACGTCCAGCGACGCTTTAGCACAGAAAACCTGTGCTATTGACCAGGAAGTGCCCTCTAGTGGCTGTCTAGTAGAAAACTGCAATAATTACACTTGCAGGGTTAAGGGTAGTGGGAGTTGGCACTCAGACCACTCCAATAGGCAGAAGTGGCAGAAGTGGTCTGGGTGCCTGGAGTGTCCCTTTAACTAACTGTTGCATAAAATTTATTAATTAGTTCATGATCTCCAGTTGAGAGAAACGCATTTTTTTTTTTTTTTAATTTAAAAATGTTTGACAAAAGTTAAAATTATACATTTTTATGTAAACAAACATTGGCACACTTCATAATGTATTGTACAATAAAAGCATAATTAAAGAGACTAAATAGTAAAAAAAATGTGTAATTGCTTGGTGGGCATTGTTAATTTAAAAAATGTAAAAATACCAAGTTCAAAAGCTTGTGTAAAGCACCTCTTGATGGTTTCTGCTGTAGTTCAAAGTCAGCCTGTAGACCATGGTAAGACTGTAGCTAAATAACCTTCATTAAATGGAAATGACAGTGTTAAATTACATTTTAACATCTACATTCTGGAAAAATGTTCTAAGTCAGCTATTCTTCCACTTTGGCTACCTTGGTCTAAAATTCACTGAGAATTCACGTTAAATAATCACTTTAGTGAATAAGCGTGTTATAGTTTTACATCAATAATTTATATTAAAAACCCCCAAAAACTAACTTTATTTTTTTTTAATCTAAAATCTAGTTAGCTTACACGTGAAATAAGTTTATAAAATAGTTTCGTACTTGAGATACATCTTTTGCATGTTGATAAATATTTCATAGCCTTTTTTAATAACTGTACTAGTCCCATTCTAACAGCAGTATTATATTTAATAGATGGGCTCGAACACAATGGGGAATTTTATTGTAAGAAAAATTAACCAATATTTTGTATAATGCTGGTTGTTAGTAATATGTGTCAGGCACGAGGTAATGTTTTGCTCTGTATAATGTTCTTTGTCCTACATTTTACCGGTAATATCAGTGTTTTTATTATGTTACAAGGGGAGATTTCATAATTTTTTTAAAGGAAGGGAGCAATTCTCATTTTGGATTTCATGTAGTGTTTATGCCCATCTCCACACTGAAAAAAATGTATGGCTATATATTTGCCCAATTAAAAGTCTTTTTTTCTTATTTTGGAAAGTGACTTTTTATGGGCCATTACTCTGCATTTACAGTATTTCTAATATACACTTGTAAGCAAATCCTACTCTCGCTGTATTTTGGCGAGCCAAGTGAGGCCACAGGAATGATTTTTAATCAAGATAATGGAGGAGCTAGCTCACCCTCTCTCCACCATGAGAGTCAGGCCCTGCTCTCCCCCTCCACCCAAAACAAAAGTGAATTGACTCTCTCATCTAAATAACTTAATATGTAACAAATGCTCCTTACCCTGGACGTTTGCCACGAACTTCTGGAGAAGTGTGGAAGCTGGCCTCCTGCCCACCAACTATGGGCCATATACATTGTGACCAACTCACTATTTTCCTTCTCTTTGTAAGACATTTCCCTCCTAGTTCATGGTATATAGTTTCCCGAACATAAATACATTTCCCCAGTTTGGCAGTTACAATCTATCAAAAACCGACCACCCCTGACCAACTACAAAGAAACCACAGACTTAAGTGCTCTCCCTGTGTGGCCGCCGTTATAACCGAACAACACATGCTGGAGAAAATGGTGGCCATTTTGTCGCACAAACGCAGGCAGTGGGACTTGGTCGTTGAGTGTCTGGAACTATAAGTCGGACACTTGACCTTGCGAACACCGGTAAAAATCACACGTACGCCTGCTTCTTTCCACGACAAGCCAGGAGAGCCCTGTTCGGTAGGATTGTTTGCACAAACAAGGCAAACATTCGCTACCTATGAGCCTGGGGAACTATTCGACATTTTGTTCGTATGGAACTTCTGAAAGTGACCGACCGCTACAACTATTTCTCTGGAACTAATTTGGGCAGACGCCACGTGTGCGGTCGGTCAAAACGTTACCCCAGGGGCTAATCGTCTGTGTTCGTGGGAACTGAGCGCTATTTAGACAACTTGGGCGATCAGATCCAGGCTATCCGGGTATATAATATTTGTGGGAGTTCCTATATGTGTTGTATGTATTTTTAATATTTTATGTTTTATATTTTGTAACTCTTGTGCCTGGGAGATAATTAATTTAAGCAAAGTACACTAAATTATCTCCCAAACACAGAGACTCCTGGGCGTGTTGTGGGAGTGGTTCACTATGTTACTGCTGGGGGTCTGTGTATATAAGCTGGCCACTGGGCCATAATAAACCAGTCTTCTTGTACCCTTCATCAAGTCTTGGCTGATGTTTGGGTAGCTCAGAGCTTTAATCACAGCTTCGCTTGGGATTTGGGAGAACTAGAGCTGATATACTGAGTTGGAGTATAGGGAATCTGTTACAACTTAATAAAAAAAAAAAAAAAACAATGTCCTTCACTAAAGTGTGAATGAGAATTAAAAATGTGTTCAACTGTTAGACTAAAACAGATTACTTGGAAAGATTTTCCAAGCCACCTATGCTTGCAATACACTGTTTCATCATAAAATCTGAACTTAACTCAGAATTCACTTCCCCATACATCACAATTGAGTTAATGAGTTTTACCCAGTTACACTATGTAATAAATTACAATGATGTGCCGATAAAGTGCTACATAGCGCTGTAAAGCTCGCCAAATCCAGTCCTTCCCTCTAAAGAAAGCAATATTGCATGTGCATGTAGATTCTTTGTATCCACAAGTACAACTTAACCCACTAGTCTTGTCCTGCAAAACATGCTGGGAAAGCAGTCTAGTGTCAATATGTTGCCATTCATCTATGAAGACAAATAAGCTTGCTAGGTTGTCTAGGAAGGAGTAGACTGCACCTTTACAAGGTTGATATATTCTTAAGTAGTTCTTCCATTGTAAACTTCATGAAGTTGATTTTCTCACATGCATTCAAGCCACACTCATACAGGCACCCAAAAATATGTGAATCTTGGCATACTACTAAGTCTGAGTATCCGCTTGGCCCTTTGTTAATGATCCAGGGTTGGGTCCAGACTGAAGGTACAAGTGTAGATTTGTTTAAGTAGACTCCCAAGTTCACTCTCTTCTTCCTGCTGGTTGGGTGGGAATACAGAAGCCAAGACGTTGTGCTCTTCTCATGTTCTTCGTTGGCATTGCTATCCTTTGGGGGTTCGAAGGCCACCACACTCCCCTGGCAGCCTGTAGGAGGTTCACACAGACTCTTGCAAATATGAGAGTCACCAAATTCCATTTCTTGACTGTTACTGATAGCTTCCACACGGTAATGCTCCCTTGTTCTTGCACTGCAGTACAGGAGGTTTGTACCGTTGTTGTGGGCCACTTCTGCCACCTCACACTCTCCTGTCTTCTGTTTCCAGAGGATACTTCCTTTGTGCCAGCTCTTACCATGGTCGTTACTGTAGAAAATAAAAGAATGAGGCTTTGTTTTCCAAGGAATGGGAAGGCAGCAGAAGCGGGAGTGTATGTAATAGAGGTAAGCAGGTACTATCAACCTTCCAGATGTTGATTGAATGCCGTGCCCGGGACCCACTGCTAGTGTGGCACAGTTCTTGAGCTCATTTCCTATAACTTCCTCAGTAAGATCACGCAACGTGCTCCAAGTTTTACCATAATCACTACTTGTTACAAAGCAAAGTCTGGCTGCATTCCTGCCAGTGAAGATCTGTCTCATTTCAGAACTATTTGTGCGAACACAGATGAAAAAGAGGAATACTGTCCCACTCCACGCATCATACACAGGGCAAGGGTTCATGGTTCGATGACCTAGTAACTTGGCAGATGCCACTTTAGTAATGTCCTCCCACTACAAGTGAAAGAAAACAGCAGTGTCATTTTCAAAAAACAAATATATCTTCATATTGTTAGCAATGTTCATGTTTCATCACAATTTTAACCCATGAACATAGTGGTTTCTTCATTAGTATAAAGAAGAAAAAATTCAGGTAAAAATGTATCATGAGGATATCCAGTGCTAATGCCTTATTTGTAATGCTTATTATTATTAAGAGGATGTTCGATGTAACCATATGAGCATTTGGTGTCAGTCACAATATTCATCCACTTCCAAATAGTCAGATCAACTAGCTAAAAACAAATGATGCTAGGAGAAAACAGAAGATCAAAGTTCAATAGGGTGCCCCATGGCTGGAACCTAATCAGCAGGGTCTAAATATGTTGGTTTTATTTTCTCACTTGTGATATTACAGAATAAGACTACTTTAGGCATCTAAGAAGAGCCTTATCAACACCGAGTCCAGAACCAGGATGCCAGAAAATAGTTTTAGCCTAGCAAACTAGAACTGACAGCCATTTACACACATGACAAAGCCCTAAAACTATGCAAACTGGAAGAATTAAACAATTGCTTAGATTTTGTTCGTTTCTAATACAACATTCTGGCCAAGCTTTTAGGATACTGATCTCATTTTATAAATGTAGCCAGCATGAGCCTCACCTTTGAGCCTCACATCCAGTATGTTGCCAAATCCTGTAGATTCCATCTTAAATACATAGCCCGCATCTGCCCCTTTCTTACACAAGATGCTGCCAAGGAGCTTGTCCATGCTCTAGTAATTTCCCGCATGGATTATTGTAACCCTCTCCTGATTGGTCTTCCCAAAAGCCGTACTGCACCGCTACAATCCATAATGAATGCTGCCGCCAGACTGATTTTTCTTTCTAGTCGGTTCTCACACACCTCACCCCTCTGCCAGTCCTTACATTGTGCTATAGGAGTCAATTCAAGGTACTAATTCACACCTATAAAGCACTGAACAACTCTACCCCCTCTTATATCTCCTCACAGATCCATAGGTCTCTCCGCTCTGCCCGTGACCACCTCCTGTCCGTTGTCCGCACCCATACGGCCCACTCGAGCGTGCAGGACTTCTCGCGGGCGGCTCTCTTCCTATGGAAATAGCCTGCCTACCACCATCAGGCTCTCCCCTAGTCTTGCATCTTTTAAGAAGTGCCTTAAAACCCATCTCTTTAGGAAAGCTTATGGCCTCCAAGACTAACCTCTACCTCACATACCTGTCTCTTGCTCTCTCCTAAAGGGCAGCCCACCTTATTTGACTGCAAATTCCTGTCCTAATGTGTTTTACACCCCACCTCCTATAGAATGTAAGCTCGATTGAGCAGGGTCCTCTTCAACCTATTGTTCCCGTAAGTTTTTTGTAATTGTCCTATTTATAGTTAAATCCCCCTCTCATAATATTGTGAAGCGCTATGGAATCTGTTGGCGCTATATAAATGGCAATAATAATAATAATATATTCATGAAATAACAGTCAGATATACATGGTTCACAGGACAAGTTACTGTTGTCAGTGGACATTTTGAACATTTTACACACAATGCATGTGAAAAAAAAACAAAAAACACTTTCACAGAAACAAGATTCTATTATCAAATGATACAGTTGACTCTCCATAATAGTACATGTAGGTTGATCTAATAAACTGAGAAGCATTGATAATTCATAAGACTACTGCATATTTTAGGGGGATATGGCCAACTTAGGGAAAAAGAGAGGAATTTTCTAAATTAACCGAATATTTGCAATTTTCTTTTCAATTGTCCGCAATACTACTTGTGGTCTATATAAATACTTTAAAATAAAACGTTGGGTTTGCAGTTAAGTGGAGAGAAGTTAAAATTAAGTAATAACAATAACTGTTTTGGCAAATTTGGCCCAAGAGATTTGATACCCTTCTGGCATGTACATATCTATATTGTGCTATAATAATGGAACGAATGCTATCTTACAATAATCCATCAGGGAAAAAGTTAAGAATTGTTTTCCTTGTTATCCCAGAGAGAATTCTGGGAAATATGGTGCAACAACAACAAATGCACACCCATGGTAGGACCGCCATGCTCCAGTACGCTGCCTTAGCTCTGTTGATTTCTATAATCTATCTTTAATCTTTCTTGTAAATCAAGTTTTTATTGCAGTTGTTATTGTATATTTGCACTGTGAATAGGCTTTAAGTCTTCCTGTGTCCATCCCTTTTCTTACACTGACAAGGGTCTGTTTCTGTATACTTTAATGTACAAATTCTCGTTCCCCGTCTATTGTCTGTCCAATGTAATCTTTAAAATACAATGATATAGCGAGATTCTGTAAATATCCAGAAGTCAAACACAGGTCACAAAACCTAGTTAAAGCAACTCATTAGGAAAGCCAAAAACATTTCAAATGCAGTTTACAGATTCATACTGGTTACTATGGGAAGGAAAGTCTGACCCCTACTGTCCTTTATATGGTGCTACAAACCCACACACATCTAATGGAATGTCGCGTATCACTGAAAACAATCCAAGGCTTTTACGTCTTTGCACCAGAAAGGAACATTTCAGAACCAATGATATTTTAACCTGCATTCAGGATACTGAAGGATATTGTTAAAATTGTAAGCTGACTGTTTGTTTAGGTAATATTGACTCCTTCATAGAAGAGACAGTTTAATTGAAAAGCCTCTAAAACCTTGCATGTGGATGCGCGCTGGCACGTGTGTGTCTGACCTGTGGACACTTGTCTGAGGTATTCTGGTGGAGGCACATTGGGGGGTAGAGGAAGTATATGATCCCCTTCTGATTTTGAACCTTTGTCCACTGACAAAGAAATGATCAGTCTATAATTTTATAAATTTATAATTTTAATAGTAGGTGTAATTTAACAGTGAGAGACAGAATAACCAAAAAAAAATAAAAAAATCCAGAAAAATGCATGTCAAAAAAGTTATAAATTGATTTGCATGTCAATGAGAGAAATAAGTATTTGATCCCCTATCAATCAGCAAGATTTATGGCTCCAATGTTTCTTTTATACAGGTAACGAGATGAGATCAGGAGCACTCTCTTAAAGGGAGTGCTAATAATCTCAGCTCGTTACCTGTATAAAAAACACCTGTCCACAAAAGCAATTAGTCAATCAGATTCCAAACTCACCACCATGGCCAAGACCAAAGAGCTGTCCAAGGATGTCAGGGACAAGATTGTAGACCTACACAAGGCTGGAATGGGCTACAAGACCATTGCCAAGCAGCGTGGTGAGAAGGTGACAACAGTTGGTGCGATTATTCGCAAATGGAAGAAACACAAAATAACGGTCAGTCTCCTTTGGTCTGGTGCTCCATGCAAGATCCCAACTCATGCAGTTTCAATGATCATGAGAACGGTGAGAAAGCAGCCCAGAACTATACAGGAGGATCTTGTTAATGATGGGACCATAGTCACCAAGAAAACAATTGGTAACACACTAAGCCGTGAAGGGCTGAAATCCCACAGAGCCCACAAGGTCCCCCTGCTCAAGAAAGCACATGTACAGGCTTGTTTGAAGTTTGCCAATGAACATCTGAATGATTCAGAGGAGAACTGGGTGAAAGTGTTGTGGTTAGATGATACCAGAATCGAGCTCTTTGGCATCAACTCAACTCGCCGTGTTTGGAGGAGGAGGAATGCTGCTTATGATCCCAAGAACACCATCCCCACCGTCAAACATGAAGGTGGAAACATTATGATTTGGGAGTGTTTTTCTGCTAAGGGAACAGGACAACTGCACCGCATCAAAGGGACGATGGACAGGGCTATGTACCGTCAAATCTTGGGTGAGAACCTCCTTCCACCATGACAATGACCCAAAACACACAGCCAAGGCAACAAAGGAGTGGCTAAAGAAGAAGCACATTAAGGTCCTGGAGTGACCTAGCCAGTCTCCAGACCTTAATCCAATAGAAAATCTGTGGAGGGAGCTGAAGGCTCGAATTGCCAAATGTCAGCCTCGAAACCTTAATGACTTGGAGAGGATCTGCAAAGAGGAGTGGGACAAAATCCCTCCTGAGATGTGTGCAAACCTGGTGGCCAACTACAAGAAACATCTGACCTCTGTGATTGCCAACAAGGGTTTTGCCACCAAGTACTAAGTCTAAGGGGTCAAATACTTAATTCACTCATTGACATGCAAATCAATTTATAACGTTTTTGACATGCATTTTTCTGTTGTTGTTCTGTCTCTCACTGTTAAAATACACCTACCATTAAAATTATAGACTTATCATTTCTTTGTCAGTGGACAAACGTTCAAAATCAGCAGGGGATCAAAAAAAAAAATTTCCCTCACTGTAAGTAGAACATGCTCAGTGGAGCTAACGGAAGGAGGAATAAAACCTGTTTAACTGACATTATCTAATTATAAAAGTGCCAATTTCTCAGAGAAATCGGCACTTTTAGAAACTGGGGTTAAAATAAGATACTCCTCACCCATAAAGCACTTCAGCAAGCTTTATGTTTCTGGTGTGGTCCTTTAATATTCTATCATTTCTCAGTAAGCTCTGGCCTTGAGTATAGTGGGTATTATTTTCCAAGGCTTATTATCATTATCGAAGAGATGAATCATATTAAACCAGCAGCCTTGAGGTTTGAACATGCATATGTATTTTAATAAAAGCCATAAAATATATAACTTACATGAATAGCCTCATAGGTCTTCACCCCCCTTCGCATTACAATGCACAAGGCATCCTGGTCATTAGGTGATGACCTCTTCTCTGAGAAAGCCAGGAAAGTGGGGGGCTCCGGTACATAGATAAGTGCTGGAATGCGGTAAGTGATTCCACTGGGCTCCTGATGGAATAGAGTCACCAGGTCTGGTGAGTCAGATCCAGCCATGACTAGTACCTAATAAATAAATAAATAAATAAAACACACACACACAACAGAAAAAAATGTAAGGAAAAAAACACAAAACACTGGGAACTTGTATGTATGGGGAGGAAAAAAACTTTACTAACAATGCCTTAGAGGTCTGCTCTTACATCGCCAGTGACCCCCAACTTCATTACATTTATTGTGGTTTAAAGACACATTACAGGTAGTATAATTGCTGGTGATTGAAACACTGAGGATATTTGCATGTTTGTGCCGGGGGCTAGTTACACCCTCTGCACATGTGACTTTGAACTCTGTTAAAAAGACTGCCAAATGTCAACTGTGTATATTTCACTTCTGTCATCAGCGAGCACTGCACACAACAGGAGTAACAATCTTCTCTCTCGCAGGCACTCCCTTCTTTCCCTCTGTGTGGTCGCTCAGCCACCCTGCAGTAAATATATAGCAGTTTTTTAAAGTTTAAAATTCCCTCTCACCCTACATCCCTACAGGGATGACGTCTGATGGGATGTAGAGATCAGCGCCTGGCACTTTGATACAGGTTTAACAGGGAAGGGGTAACTATTAGTAATGTACTGTAAATCAAAAAAGGGCACTATAGATTTAAAAAAAAAAAAAAAAGAAGATTAGTGATAAAAAGGGTTGGAGTAACCCTTTAAAGGAACACTATATAGTCACCCAGATCACTTGGTCTCAATGAAGTGGTCTGGGCACAGTGGTCCTGTCTTGCAGGGTTGAATCCACATCTACTGGTTGTCTTCCTGAGCCATTAGAAGTACTTTGTCCTCCAGACAAAGTAAAACAGTCTTGGAATTAAATGCTGCTGAGAGCAGCATTTGATTTGAGGAGTGCGGCATTTGGCTGTACATGTGCATCTCCAATCACTATGAGAAGCAATGGATTGGAGGCTATCACCGGTGATGTCACCTTAGATGCGGACAGCAGGCAGGGCTGGAGGCTGCAGCAGAGGAGTCTCGGCGCTGAAAAGGAGGTGAGTAATGTCTTTTAAAGTTCTATTTTTAGCTGCACAGGGGAGTGGGCAGGAGGGATGTATAACGATTAGTGATGTCCCGAACTGTTCGCCGAACGGTTCGCCACGGACTCCAGTCAGCAGACACATTCCAGCCAATCAGCAGCAGACCCTCCCTCCCAGACCTTCCCACCTCCTGGACAGCTCACTAAGAATGCAGCTTCAAAATGGATGCTGTCCAGGAGGTGGGAGGGTCTGCTGCTGATTGGCTGGAATGTGTCTGCTGACTGGAGTCGACGGCGAACCATTCGTGGCGAACCGTTCGCAAACAGTTCGGGATATCACTAATAACGATTGTTATTTTCAGGACTATAGGTTTCCTTCAAGGGCTAATCCTCTGTAATGCACAGTTATCGGTGATCCAAAAGATTACTGACAAAGCTGTAAATTGTATGTGAACTGATGGCTGAAATGGAAAAATTTAGTCCTTGTAAAATTTGTGCAATTCATTCCATCTTGTTTTATCCGTTTTTTTTATTTGGTCATCAATATATCACAGTTCACAGCCTTAAAAAGAACAGTCAATTCCCGAAGAGTGACAGTTTCCCCATCCTTCATCCCCAATAAATCACACTGAGCACTCACAGAGTGAGGCGTACAGTGGAGGTAAGTAGAAAATACACTTACCTTTTACTGCATCTACTTTGCAAAGCTGTACAAGAGCGTGTATTGGGACATGCCTCCCATTGTGCCATACACACCTGTATGAACTTAGTAAACCCCTGGCATTGTAGAGCAAGCATATCAAACTACAAAGTTTAAATCCCCCCCCCGCCTCGTCTACTATATCCCAGTCCCCGCCCCACCCCCAATCCCCCCATATACTAAACCCTCTGTCCTGTTTAAAAAAAAAAAAAACACAACAACAACAAAAAACACAGCCAACAAGCAGTGTCCGGATTCCAGCCTCTGGCATACCCCCAATGGCCCCATCCGCACCTTAAAAAAGCGGATCCTCCTGTTACACCTTGAAACCCTCACACACACTCACTGACAGACAACAGAATCACTCCGACACAAACATACACTTACAGGCTCCCTCACAGACACACACTGACAGACACGCACTCAGACAGCCATACACCTATAAACACAGACACAGCCATACACACAGACTGGGTTGGTTTCTTACCTGGGGTCTAGTGGGGTTGCTGGGCAGGCATAGGAGTGGACAGGCAGTGAAGGAGCGCTTAGTGTAAGCTCTCCCTGCTCAGCTCATTCGCGTGCCGCAGTGATGCCGGAGTGACGTCATATTACGGCTCCCGGCATCACTGCGGCGAGCTGAACTGGGAGAGTTTACACTTGGTGCTCCCTCGCCACGGCCTGCGGTCCGCATAAATATTAGTTGTGGGCCGCGAGTCTGACATGGCTGTTGTAGAGGATACAGAATTCTCAGTTATATAATCTGGCTGTGCCAGGACAGCATGGCATTTCAAAACATATAAAATGATTTGGAAACCCAAAATGAGAGAAGTGACAGTTTCACTTTGAAGAATGAGAGAGATGAAAGTGAGCGAGGGAGAGAAGAAGAGAGAAAAAAATATATATTTTATTCAAAGACACTGAGGTGAGTATTGTGGACCACGGCGGTCAGTCTCCGGCAGACGACCTTGTGGTGAGTACTGCTTATTCCCACTTTTCCATGTAAGACTGGCACTGTTTTACCAGGCATGGAATGTTATAACCTCAGATGTGTGGGTTTTGCAAACAATTAAAGGGTATCGGTTGGAGTTAGTCTCTCATCCCGTACAGGTGCTCCATCCTTGGGAGATAATCATTCCTGCCGACCATCAAACCTTGATTTCACAAGAAATTGCAGAGTTGGCTTCAAAAAACACCATTCAGCAAATACCTTGTGACACAGCGAGTTTCGTGAGCAACCTGTTTCTGGTACCATTTTGATTCTTTAGTTGTTGCTCAGCTTTGAAATAGCATAATAGGAGCCTTCGTGTCTTAAATAAAATTACCAGATTTTATGATTAAAATGACGGAAAGTCATGATTTTATTAATTACATGGAGGTGAGTATTATTCCCACCCACCCTTCCCTCTGTGAATTTACGGATATTCCCTTGTAATTGGTCATACCAGCCGTAGTTTCTGGTCAGAACAAGAATATTGTCTCTTGCACAGGTAAGTGGTAAGTAACTGGGATTTTACGCTCTATGGTAGATTTACTGCCTGTATTTTATTGTCATACCTATAGATAGATAGCTCATTGTTGAATATGTCACAAACTTTTGATATCACCATATTTCTCTTATTCACCGGTTTTGTTGGATTATATCTGGCTGAATTTAACTTCGAGATAAAGGTGTTTTCGTTTTATGGGTTCCTGTTCTGTTCATTTTGTTTGGTTCCAGCGTTATTGGGCTTCGGGTGACTACGCAAGAAAGAGGAGGAGTCAAGGAGTACCACACCTTTATGGACTGTACTGGATCCTGATTGGTTGCAGTGTTGCTAAGCTATGTTATTTTTTTACTTATGATTTTCTCTCAAATTTTTATTTGCTGCTGAGGGAAAATAAAGAGAGCATAATACTTGCCTTCGTGTCATTACTAAAATCATGACTTTACGTCATGTTAATAGTAAAATCTGGTAATTATTTGCTTCAAATACACCTAGATCATCTTCCTGGTCTCCACTGGCCTTCATTCAGCATGTCGGTTATATATCTGTATCAAATATATCAAACACCTTCTCCATGCACCATTCTCACTGCTCCCCAACAGAAGGCAGAAAGGTGGTGCAGGGTGTGGCAAAACAAGCCACTTAAGACTATCAATATATGCACCTATTTATAGTCCTTATAAAGCTGTGAGAGCAAGTGTATGTTTGTATTTGCATTTCAGGCGAATAAGGGCATTTGTATGCTGGTGGCATGAAAACCCCAGCATTCATACTGGAGTTTCACGAACAGTGAGTTTCAACACTGTTCGTGAAACGAATAAGCTACCGAATGGACGACCACACACAGGAGGTCGTGTGACGCCCATTAACCGATTGCAACATTGTTGCAATCGGTAGTTAAAGGCTTCCCTAGGTGGCCGTCGTTCGGCTACCGACCACGTGGCGGTCGGCCATCTTGGTTCCTTTGTTAGGCCAGCGGTGTTTGGTCGTCGAGCGCCTGGAACTAAAATCGGCTACTCGACGGCGCGGACACCGCTGGACTTCCAGGCCGTTCGGTAGTTTGTTCCCCTGATGCCAACCCGTACTTTGAATATAACTTGAATTTAATGTGTGTTTCGTGCGGCGTTCGGTTAGTTAGGCTGGGATCTGAGCGGTATTCTCACGAACTGTGCGAACTCAGACCCCAGCTATCTATCGAACGTCCATTTGTTTAAATGAAGGGAATATTATGGGAATTATTTATTTTAATGTGAAATGTAAGTTCTGCTGCACGGAGCGATAATCCACTTAGCTATATATTCTAGTGGGAGTATCCCTCTCGTGCAGCAGTGCATGGTGGGAGAAATGTATGTATTGTTCAGTTCCCCATGTAGTCCCCTACTGTGCCACCCCTGGAATGTCAGTAGGGAAAACCCTTGCATGGGGAATCCCATAAATACTGTGCATGTAATTAAAAACCTCAGTTGACCTCCAAGCTATGTGTCATCTAGTTCTTGGGAGGAAGGGATTGTAACTACGCTACCTGGATTTTACCTGTTTTGTACCTGCTTGATTCTGTCTAAAAGCGGAGATACCGTGGGTAATACTACTACTCCGCTACACAGGGGTGGGTTACTTTCTCAATCTATCTGTAAAGATACATTGAAGCAAACTGTTCTATACAGAAACATTCACTGGACTGATGATAATATCAGAATGCTTCTATACTTAAAAACAAGGTTTTACCTATGGCTCCAGTCTTGGTCTTTGGTATTAATAAATCAGGAAGTGATCAACAGAAATCTTCCACCACATGTGAAACTCTGCAACCCAGCGTTCTTTAAATAACACCATGCATAACGGTATGACTAGGAGTATACAGGTGAATTGCTTTGTAAAATTGTGTTTTCTGTTAAAGAGTCTCTGCCATTTCTTTATATTTTTAAATTATGTTGTGCTAAAAGTCCCCCTGAGCAGTCTGTTTTTTGTCTTTCTTCAAAATGATCATTACTTAAAAAGTTATGCATAAGTAAAATAATACTCTGACAATACACAGTTTAGTGAATAACTGTGTTAGTGAAATAATCACTGTATAAAGTGGAAACTGCCAGCTGCAATATAAGAGCAATTACATACAGCACATTGAACAGCAATTACAGTCCTTATAATAGGGAAGATAACATTTTCAAAAAATTATCATAAAAATCAAAGCCATGTGAAAAAAGTCAACACATTAAATATTCTGTCTAATTTTCCTTACATACTCTTTGACCCCCAAAAATCAATCTAGAAAATTAAATTGTGTTTTGCTGAGAAGTACTGAATACAAATATGAAAATTAAGATCACTTAAACACAACAACAGCATGTTAAAATAACACTAAAAGATACAAAAATGGGACTATCAGCGCGCTGCAAAATATATACATAATAGAACAAATTTGTATCAAATTAGTAAATTACTACGGGTACTAAATGTACAAAAGCGTGTTTGACATTATTTGTTAACAAACAGCCACTTCCACACAACAGCTTAATGAAGCTATGGGGCAGGAATGACAAGGCATAGTCTTACTGTAAAGGGGAACTGTAAAGGATTCTCCTATACTCACCTGTGTTTCTTTGGTTATATCCTCTCCCTGCTGTTGAACTAATTTTGGATGGTTCGTTTAACTCCCAGAAAAAGGATTTACATTTTTAAATTGGTACTTCGAATGCAGTCGAAGTCGTCAAAGTCGAAGTGGCCGCCATTCGAATATCGAACACGTGGCGGCGGCCATTTTAATTTAGTCGAACGCGGTCAGCGGTGCGTGCCACTGAATCTACGGAACTAAAAATCTGCTACACATTTGCACGAACACCGCTGACTCTTACCTTCTCAGGAACTTCGACACTTCGGCTGAAATCGAAGTGCGTTCGACAATTCGAACACACTGTTCGAATGGGACTTAGACATTTTTCTGGGTGAAATCGACCGACCGCACAGCCCAAATCTATGGAACTGTTTTGGGAAGGAAAATGTGCTTGCGGTCGGTCATAAAGGACTTCCTGTGGATTACTTGGTGATTTTCTTTTATGAGAAGAAGGGAATGCTTGACGGTGATACAGATTACTACCGTCACAGGCACGATGTGAATTCCTGACGCTCCAGCTGTAAAAACATAGTTTAGATGCCCGCGCCCTTTGCCTCTAAAACGTATTTTACTCATTTTTCCAGCACTATGCAGGTCTCGTGGTGACTGACCCCAACCCATTTGACCTTTTTGGCTAATATCATTAACACTGACAATCTCAGAAAGTATATAGGGACACGGTGTATATTAGAAGGTATAAAGTGACAGTGTATATTACAAGGTATATAGTGACAGTGTATGTTATAAGGTCAGTGGCGAGATCTCTTTACCACCTCTGATCTCGCCACTGTTCCATTTCCTTTGTCTTACCACCATCTGCTAACATTTAACATCTGCATACCCCATACCAAAATTTCACCACCATCAACTCTCCAACCTCGCAGAAACCTCAACTCCCTCGATCTCCAGCACTTCTCCACCAAACTCCAAACACTCCTTTTACCCATCTCAAATCTCAACTGCCCTAACTCTGCAAGCTCACTCTACAACTCCACTCTCTCCTCTCAACTTGACATCATGGCACCTCCTACAGTTAAACGCAGCAAGCGCGCCCCAAATACAACCCTGGCGCACCCAGCTGACCCGTTACCTCCAAAAATGTTCCAGAACTGCTGAACGCTGCTGGAGAAAGTCTCACTTTGCATCTGACTTTGTCCACTATAAATTTATGCTGTGCTCCTACAGCATGGCTCTTTCCTCTGCAAAAGTAAACTACTTCAACACACTCATAAGCACACTGTCCCATCAACCCAAACACCTGTTTCACACTTCCACCACCTGACTCCCTCTCCTTCCACCTCCTTGTCCGCCACAAACTTTGCATCTCATTTCACTGAGAAGATCTATACAATCAGGAAAGAGATCTCTAATCTCTCTCCTACCCCTATCAACACATCACCCAACCACACTCCCCCTGCCATCCTATGCTCATTTGGACCTGCTACAGCACAAGAGGTTTCTGCTCTGCTCCTGTCCTCCCGCCCTACCACCTGCTCCCTCGATCCTATTCCATCGCAACTCATCCGCACTTTGTCTCCCTCTCTTGCTCTTCCTCACATTTTCAATCTCTCCCTTTCCTCTGGCACATTTCCCTCACCCTTCAAACATGCAACCGTAACCCCAATTCTGAAAAAGCCCAACCTTGATCCCAACTCCCCATCCAACTACCGCCCTATCTCGCTACTGCCATTTGCCTCCAAGATCCTCAAGAGAGTTGTGTACGCCAGATTGACAGACTTTCTCGAATCCAACTCTCTGCTTGACCCCCTTCAGTCTGGATTCCGCGCTGGTCACTCTGTCGAAACTGATGTGACCTAAGTATCCAACGATTTAATTGCTGCTAAATCTCGCGGCCAATACTCTATCCTAATCCTCCCTGATCTTTCTGCCGCCTTTGACACTGTTGATCATCAACAGTTTCTTCAAATTCTCCGTAACTTTGGTCTACGGGATACTGCTCTCTCCTGGTGCTCCTCCTACCTCTCCCAGCGCTCTTTCATTGTTTCTTTCTCTGGCTCTGCCTCTTCTCCCCAACCCCTCTCTGTCGGCGTCCCCCAAGGTTCAGTCCTCGGCCCCCTACTGTTCTCTATCTATACTGCCTCCCTTGGTAAACTCATCAACTCCTTTGGCTTCCATTATCATTTATATGCAGATGACACGCAAATCTACCCGTCCTCCCCTGATCTCTCTCCACCCACCTTGACTCGTGTTTCTGACTGCCTCTCTACTATTTCCAACTGGATGCCTACTCACTTCCTTAAACTCAACCTGTCCAAAACAGAACTTCTAGTTTTTCCTCCCACAAGTGCTGCTACTCCTGTGTCTGTCTCCATCCAAGTCAACGGCGCTACCATCACCTCTACCTCCCAGGCTCGCTGCCTAGGGGTTCTTTTTGATTCTGATCTCTCTTTGACTCCCCATGTCCAATCGATAGCCAAATCCTTCCAACTCAAGAATATAGCGCGCATCCGCCCATATCCAACGCCGGACGCGGCTAAGGTACTGGTTCATGCTGTTGTTCTCTCTCGCCTTGACTACTGCAATCCCCCTCTCACCAGTCTTACATGTTCCCAGCTTGCATCGCTGCAATCTATAATGAATGCGGCTGCGAGGCTTATTTTCCTGTCCGGTCGCACCTCCCACGCCTCCACGCTCTGTCAGTCCCTGCATTGGCTTCCAGTTAGATATAGGGCCCAATTCAAAATTCTGGCTCTTGCTTACAAATCCCTACATAATGCTGCTCCAACATACCTATCCTCCCTCATACACAAGTATGTCCTGTCGAGACCCCTGCGCTCAGCCCCAGACCTACGCCTATCCTCTGCCCGGATCCCCACCTCTGATGCTCGCCTTCAAGACTTCTCCAGGGCTGCACCTATTCTGTGGAACTCCCTTCCCTCCTCAATCAGACTTTCACCCAGCCTCCACTCCTTTAAAGAAATCTTTGAAAACTCACTTCTTCATTAAAGCATATCAATTAAACGGTCAGCAGGTTTCTCATCCCCCACCCCATGACTCCTTTCCTGCAACTGTCAAAAATGACCTACCAAGAGTTGAAGAGTTGTGAGTCCTTCCTCCTCTCGCCGGGGTCTACTTCCTGCAACTATAGGCAGGTCTTGTTCAGGGGGTTCCATATACATGTGTGTGTACGTATATATATATATATACACGTGTGTGTTTCCCCACTGGATTTTCAAGAGGGGGTTTGTTTCCCCTCTTGAATTATTTTTCATGTTCTATGTATCTTATAATGTAAATATTTTTATTTTTTTTGTATGTTTTTGTTTTTTATTTTTTTTCTTCTTTCTGAGACTCGATTCGGGGTGTAACCATGACAATAGGTGTTATGATGGCACTTAATTTGATATCATGGAATGTCCAGGGTTTAAACTCACCACAGAAAAGGGGAGCGGTCTATAAAATTCTAAAAGATAATGATATCGACATCGCTTTTATTCAGGAGACACATTGGATTAATTCTCCAGAGAGACTCTGGAAGTTTAAGAAATTCCATTTGATATTTTCCTCCAATATGGAGGGGAGTAAAAAAAAAAAAGAGGTACTGCTATTATAATTTCTAGTAGAATTAATTTTGAAAAGATATATCTAACTGGGGATCCAATGGGAAGATATGTGATACTTGTTGCAAAAATTAATGGTATTATCTATACTTTGGTCAATGTTTATGCACCAAATTCGTGCTCAGGGGATTTTTTTGATAAAATTATGGAAAGGGTTACATAGTTACATAGTTACATAGCTGAAAAGAGACTTGCGTCCATCAAGTTCAGCCTTCCTCACATTTGATTTTTTGCTGTTGATCCAAAAGAAGGCAAAAAAACCCAGTTTGAAGCACAATTTTGCAACAAGCTAGGAAAAAAATTCCTTCTTGACCCCAGAATGGCAGTCAGATTTATCCTTGGATCAAGCAGTTATTACCCTACATTGAAAGATTATATCCTTGAATATTCTGTTCTTGCAAGTATGCATCTAGTAGCCGTTTGAACATCTGTATGGACTCTGATAAAACCACTTCTTCAGGCAGAGAATTCCACATCCTGATTGTTCTTACAGTAAAAAAACCTTTCCTTTGCCTTAGACGAAATCTTATTTCTTCCAGTCTAAACGCATGGCCTCGTGTCCTATGTAAAGTCCGGTTTGTGAATAGATTTCCACACAATGGTTTGTATTGGCCCCGAATATATTTGTATAATGTTATCATATCCCTCTCAGGCGACGTTTTTCTAAACTAAATAGGTTTAAATTTGTTAACCTTTCTTCATAGCCGATATGTTCCATTCCTTTTATTAATTTTGTAGCCCGCCTCTGCACTTTTTCTAGTGCCATAATATCCTTCTTTAGAACAGGTGCCCAAAATTGCACAGCATATTCAATATGGGGTCTTACCAGTGATTTATAAAGAGGCAAAATTATATTCTTGTCCCGAGAATGAATGCCCTTTTTCATGCATGACAATACCTTACTGGCCTTGGCCACTGCTGATTGACATTGCACATTGTTGCATAGTTTGTTGTCTATAACAATTCCCAAGTCCTTTTCATGTGTTGTTATCCCTAATTCGCTTCCATTAAGGGTATACGTTGCTTGTGTATTCTTTACGCCGAAGTGCATAACTTTGCATTTGATGAATTAGCATGTGGTAACATCATAATTGGGGGAGACTTTAATTGTGTATTAGATCCAGTACGGGATAAAAGCCATAAAAACGCTGGAGAATACAAATTTGTAAATACCTATGCCTCGGATTTTTCAAAATTTTTAGACAGGAACTCTCTATTTGATTGTTGGAGGACTTTGAATCCTAGTGAGAGAGACTACACCTTTTTTTCACATGTCCACCAGACCTATTCTCGAATAGACATGTTTTTGGTGAAAGCGGGGTTTTTGAGTTCTATTACTAATTCCAATATCGGATCTATAGTTGTATCAGATCATGCTCCAGTATTCATTAAGGTTAAGTTAAAAGGTGGTCTTAGACCAAGGACAAGGTGGAGACTTAATGAAAGCCTTTTGAAATCAGAGTGCAATATTGACTTTTTGTCATCTGAAATTGAAAATTTCTTGAATACAAATGATAATGGGGAAGTTTCCACGGCAACAGTATGGTGTACCCTTAAAAGTTTTGCAAGGGGACTATTGATTAAACTTGGCTCAGAATCTAAAAGGAGGAAGGGAGAATCTCTACAAGAGTTAAGAATAAAATTGGCAAACAAGGAACGTTTAAATAAAAACATGGTGAATAAAGATCTGATTGAGGAAATAACTAAATTGAGGGAATCTATCAAAGAAAGAATTTATGATACGGTTAATATAAATATACTCTTTCTTAAACAAAGATGGTATCATAATAATAACAAAATAACTAAAGACCTCTCTAATAAAATTAAGAATAATCTTAAAGATAAATTCATAAAAAAAATTGTCTTAGGTGATAAACATCTAGTGTCACCAAATGAAATTGTAAATGCATTTGCGGAATTCTATAAATCTCTATATAATCTAAAGGAGGTAGGAAGGAGTAGAGAAGAAATGGATACATTTTTGAGTAACCTCAAATTACCACAAATTAAACAAAGTAAGTTGGAAATGTTGAATGCTCCATTCTCACTATCAGAAGTAACAGAAGTAATAGATAAGTTAAAACCGAATAAGGCCCCAGGCCCAGATGGCTTCTCAACAATGTTTTATAGAACTTTTTCTAGACTCATTTCTCCTATCCTATTAGAGATGTTTATGAAGGCGTCTGCGGATAATCCTTTCCCCAATGAGATGTTATTGGCCTCAATCATTCCTATACCCAAAGTAGGGAAAGACCCAACACTTATTACTAACTACAGACCCATATCTCTCATTAACTTGGATATAAAGATATTCTCCCAAATATTATCTAACAGATTTAAAGAGGTAATAGGAGATCTGATCGATATTGATCAGTCTGGATTTGTGCGAAGGAGAGGTACTACAGATAATACACGTAGGATATTTAATTTAATACATAGAATAAAGGAGCAGAAATGGGGGTCTGTCATTATGGCTCTTGATGCTGAGAAGGCCTTTGACAGAGTCAATTGGAGATTCCTGGACTCTGTCATGGGCCAATTTGGCCTAGAGGGTCAATTTAGACACAATACCATGTTGTTATATAGGAGCTCTACAGCTAAAATAATTAACCCTCTTGCTGAGTCTGATCATTTTGAGGTCAAAAATGGTACTAGACAGGGTTGCCCTTTGGCTCCCCTGTTATATATTCTTACAATTGAACCTTTGGCCACTATGATCAGACAGGATATCAACGTAAAGGGGGTTAAGTCCCTTAATGGGGAAAACAAGGTCTCCCTATTTGCAGACAATGTCCTCCTTACTTTGACGGATCCGATGGTTTCAATTCCGTCAGTACTGGACGTTATATCAAATTATAGTAGCTTTTCGAATTATAAGATCAATATGAAAAAAACTCAATTTTTAGCCTCTTTTCTATCGGAGGCTCAGAAAGATTTCCTGACAGCACATTTTCAATTCTCATGGGCAAAGGAAAATATCGGTTATTTGGGGATCAAAATATCTTTTGATATAGAGAAGATGATACAATCAAATTATGATACATTATTAAGAGATCTGCAACAACTGGTAGACAATTGGAGGAAGATTGAGTCCTCATGGATAGGAAGATTAAATATGATCAAGGCATTTTTGTTACCCAAAATTATATATTATTTTAGGGCGATTCCCTATAGATTGGGGAAAGGTATTCTTAAACGCTTTCAAATTTTGATTTCTAAATGTATTTGGGCTAATAAACCACCTAGGATAGCTTTCGATACCCTTCGAAGGAGCTACCAGAAGGGCGGTATAGCATTTCCAGATGTTGATAAAATCCATGAAGCATGTATGGCGACTCATCTTTTACAGTGGTTGGATAAGGAGCGGGGATCTATATCATGGCTTACTCTAGAACAGGAGGATAGCCCTAGATATGAACTGGTTGTTCTCTTTTGGATGGGTTTGCTAAATTTGGGTGAATTGGATACTAAGAATTTTTCCAACCGAATATTGATAGATATGATCAATACTTCTAAAATTCTAAGTAAGAAATTGAAGCTAGAAGATAAATTATTATATAGAGTTCCATTAGTGGTCCTACAATATATAATGGATAACATTAATGTTCAATCTTGGATACATTTAGGCCTAACGAAGATCTGTGACTTATGGGATGGATTTAAACCCATCCCATTTATACAATTGCATGAAAAGTTCAATCTTTCCCCTAGAGATCTTTTCCAATATCTAAGGATTAAGAATTTTATACAATCCCGGACCATACTTAAGGACCACATTGTTAATCCCCTTATTGTATTATATAAAAAGAAGGGAGGGATTTCTAGATTTATTAAGGTGCTAGAATCAATGGAACAAGACTCTCATGCCACTTCCTTTATTAAATGGGAACAAGATATTGGGGAATCCTTTTCACTTTTGGAATGGTCCAAGGCTACACTCCTGGTTAAGCGTTGTATACATAGCGTTTCTCTTTATGAAACACATTTAAAGATAATATATAGGTGGTATATGGTACCGGCTAGATTATACAAAATATCATCTGTCCATTCTAAGTATTGTTGGAGATGTGGAAATGAGGAGGGTACTATCTACCACATATGGTGGGAGTGTCATGGTCTCGATAGTATAAAAATTCAAATGTTTGGCCTTATTAACTCTATCTTTAAGGAGATAAAAGAAATTAGCCCTCAACTATTTCTTTTTAATATTGGTTTTCCTTCGCAAGATAAATATCAAAATTATCTTTTGACTCATATATTTTTTGCCATCAAAATATGTATAGCTAGGGCTTGGAATTCTTCTACTCCTTTAATATGGCATAGTATTATGGAGCAAATTGATTACCAACATAGGATGGAAACAAACCCTTTCTTTGGTACTAGAGACGTGACCAAATTATGGTTACCCTGGACAAATCGACAGAACCCATGATAGCATGTTGTGGTTCCCCACCTTATCGAGTCTCAGAGGATGTTTTATTTGTATTATAATTTTATTTTTTTTTTTTCTTACTATCAATGTGATAATTATACTATGGAAATCCTGGTGTTAACTTCTTGATTAGGTGTGGTAGTGGATAAGTGTTCCTGGCTGTAATATATATCGGGTGTACGATATGATGGTTTCTGATGGAAACACTGTACTATATGTGGAACCAATTGACGCTGGATCCTTTATTAAGTTTTTTTTTTTTTTTTGTCGTTTGTCTGTTTAATTTTGGTGTTTTTTTTCTCTATATATAATTATTTTTGTATATGGCTGTATTACTATGTTGGAGGTATGTCTATTGGATACCCCATATGTAAATGTTAATAATGTTAAAAAAAATTTAATACGATAAATAAAGAAATATAAAAAAAAAAAAATGACCTACCAAGCACTCAATAAATCCTTCTGTAACAAACTATTTAATTCCCCTACTTGAACCCTTTGTGTCACTATACCCCATTCTCTCTAGCATGTAAGCTCATCGAGCAGTGCCCTCAACCCCCTCTGTTCCTGTATGTCCAGTGGTCTGATCTCAATTATGTGTCTGTTAGTCCACCCACTGTACAGCGCTACGGAATTTGTTGGCGCTATATAAATAATAAAATAATAATAATAATAATAATAATAAGGTATATAGTGACAGTGTGTGTATTAGAAGGTATATAATGACAGTGTATTAGAAGGTATATTATAAGGTATATAATGACTGTGTGTATTACAAGGTATATAATGACAGTGTATTATAAGGTATATAGTGACAGTGTGTATTAGAAGGTATATAGTGACAGTGTATTACAAGGTATGTAATGACAGTGTGTATAATAAGGTTTCAGCACACAAGGGGTTAAAATCCGTTTAGGCGATATTCCCCTTTCAGATGCACAGGCAGCTACTACAATCACCAATCTCCCGAACTGCAAACACACAAATTCTCCAACTCACGAACTGGAACCATACAAATCCTCCAACTCACGAACAGGAAACACACGAATGCTGTTAAACAGCTGAACAGGAAAAACCATACGAACAGTTTACACTCCTGGCAGCATACAATCCAATTCCCCCCAAGAACGAGACGACACTTCGTTTGAGGATCAAGCAGAACTGATTTACTGGGGCTACCTGCCCGGCTTTTATGCAGGTCTCCCACCTGGTGGACACTCCCCTAGGGAACCAGATGGAAAACTGGGATACATATTGGACATTGACCAATCACAAGCTTACAATCCCACAATGCATCACAATCCCTCCTCTCTGTCCTGGAGATAATTGGGAAGTAATCAAATTATCTCCAAGGACAGAGGCAAAACTCCATTAACCACATGGTAGACAAAGGACAATAAAAGACATAAAATTACATACTGTAACATTTATCACATAGAACATACACATTCTACCTATCCCCAGATAGCTTAGATCTGAGCGCCCATTACTACCTGATGGCGCTCAGATCACATACATACAATTCAATTACCATGGAGCCAAAGTCTTTCATTATACGGCTGGGCTCCATGGCATAGCTATCTGGGGTAGCATGGTTTAAAAAAGTAAAGTAGCAAATGGACCGTTGTTCGGATAATTGACTGCAGGTAGGAAAACGTAGGTAGGCAGCTCAGCGGTGTTCGTGACTTTACCAGTCCGCAGAAAGGCACGAACCAGCCTTTCTGCAGGAAAAAAAGAACAGTGTTAAACATGGGGCCATAGTCTAAATGGAGCAGGCGAGCAACCAGGCTCCTCCAGTGGCGAGGTTGGTTCCGCCACAGGGTATTTGGTGACAGTGTGTATAACAAGGTATATAGTGACAGTGTGTATAACAAGGTATATAGTGAGTGTATTATAGTGACAGTGTGTATAATAAGGTATATAATGAGTGTATTATAGTGACAGTGTGTATAATAAGGTATATAGTGCCAGTGTGTATTATAAGGTATATAGTGACAGTGTATCATAGTGACAGTGTGTATAATAAGGTATATAGTGAGTGTATTATAGTGACAGTGTGTATAATAAAGTATATAGCGAGTGTATTATAGTGACAGTGTGTATAATAAGGTATATAGTGACACTGTGTATAATAAGGTATATAATGACAGTGTATTACAGGGACAGTGTGAATAATAAGGTATATAGTGACAGTGTGTACAATAAGGTATGTAGTGACAGTGTGTACAATAAGGTATGTAGTGACAGTGTATTATAGTGACAGTGTGTATAATAAGGTATATAGTGACAGTGTGTATAATAAGGTATATAGTGACAGTGTATCATAGTGACAGTGTGTATAATAATGTATATAGTGAGTGTATTATAGTGACAGTGTGTATAAGGTATATATTGACAGTGTGTATAATAAGGTATATATTGACAGTGTGTATAATAAGGTATATAGTGACAGTGTATTATAGTGACTGTGTGTATAATAAGGTATATAGTGAGTGTTTTATCTTGACAGTATGTATAGTAAGGTATATAGTGACAGTGTGTATAGTAAGGTATATTGTGACAGTGTGTATAATAAGGTATATTGTGACAGTGTGTATAATAAGGTATATAGTGATAGTGTATTATAGTGAGTGTGTATAATAAGGTATATATTGACAGTATTATAGTGACAGTGTGTATAATAAGGTATATAGTGGCAGTGTATTATAGTGACAGTGTGTATAATAAGGTATATAGTGACAGGTTATTATAAGGTATATAGTGACAGTGTATCATAGTGACAGTGTGTATAATAAGGTATATAGTGAGTGTATTATAGTGACAGTGTGTATAATAAGGTATATAGTGACAGTGTATAATAAGGTATATATTGACAGTGTGTATAATAATGTATATAGTGACAGTGTGTATAATAAGGTATACAATGACAGTGTGTATAATAAAGTATATAGTGACAGTGTACTATAGTGACAGTGTGTATAAGGTATATAGTGACAATGTATTATAGTGACAGTGTGTATAATAAGATATATAGTGACAATGTATTATAGTGACAGTGTGTATAATAAGGTATATAATGACAGTGTGTATAATAAGGTATATAGTGACAGTGTATTATAGGGACGGTGTGTATAATAAGGTATGTAGTGACAGTGTGTATAATAAGGTATATAGTGAGTATTATAGTGACAGTGTGTATAATAAGGTATACAGTGACAGTGTGTATAATAAGGTATATAGTGAGTGTATTATAGTGACAGTGTGTATAAGGTATATAGTGACAGTGTGTATAGTAAGGTATATAGTGACAGTGTATTATAGTGACAGTGTGTATAATAAGGTATATAGTGAGTGTATTATAGTGACAGTGTGTATAAGGTATATAGTGACAGTGTGTATAGTAGGGTATATAGTGACAGTGTGTATAGTAGGGTATATAGTGACAGTGTGTATAATAAGGTATATAGTGACAGTGTGTATAATAAGGTATATAGTGACAGTGTGTATAATAAGGTATATAGTGAGTGTATTGTAGTGACTGTGTGTATAAGGTATATAGTGACAGTGTGTATAATAAGGTATATAATGACAGTGTGCATAATAAGATATATAATGACAGTGTGCATAATAAGGTATATAGTGACAGTGTATTATAGTGACAGTGTGTATAATAAGGTATATAGTGACAGTGTATTATAGTGACTGTGTATAATAAGGTATATAGTGACAGTGTATTATAGTGACAGTGTGTATAATAAGGTATATAGTGAGTGTTTTATCTTGGCAGTGTGTATAATAAGGTATATAGTGACAGTGTATTACAGGGACAGTGTGTATAATAAGGTATATAGTGACAGTGTGTACAATAAGGTATATAGTGACATTGTGTACAATAAGGTATGTAGTGACAGTGTATTATAGTGACAGTGTGTATAATAAGGTATATAGTGACAGTATTATAGTGACATCGTGTATAATAAAGTATATAATGACAGTGTGTATAATAAGGTATATAGTGACAGTGTGTATAATAAGGTATACAGTGACAGTGTGTATAATAAGATATATAGTAAGTGTATTATAGTGACAGTGTGTATAATAAGGTATATAGTGAGTGTGTATAATAAGGTATATAGTAAGTGTATTATAGTGACTGTGTATAAAAAGGTATATAGTGAGTGTGTATAATAAGGTATATAGTGACAGTGTGTATAATAAGGTATATGACAGTGTGTATAATAAGGTATATAGTGACAGTGTGTATAATAAGGTATATAGTGACAGTGTGTATAATAAGGTATATAGTGAGTCTATTATAGTGACTGTGTGTATAAGGTATATAGTGACAGTGTGTATAATAAGGTATATAATGACAGTGTGCATAATAAGATATATAATGACAGTGTGCATAATAAGGTATATAGTGACAGTGTATTATAGTGACAGTGTGTATAATAAGAAATATAGTGACAGTGTGTATAAGGTATATAGTGACAGTGTGCATAATAAGGTATATAGTGACAGTGTATCATAGTGACAGTGTGTATAATAAGGTATATAATGACAGTGTGCATAATAAGATATATAATGACAGTGTGCATAATAAGGTATATAGTGACAGTGTATTATAGTGACAGTGTGTATAATAAGAAATATAGTGACAGTGTGTATAAGGTATATAGTGACAGTGTGCATAATAAGGTATATAGTGACAGTGTATCATAGTGACAGTGTGTATAATAAGGTATATAATGACAGTGTGCATAATAAGATATATAATGACAGTGTGCATAATAAGGTATATAGTGACAGTGTATTATAGTGACAGTGTATATTATAAGCTATATAGTGACAGTGTGTATAAGGTATATAAAGACAGTGTGCATAATAAGGTATATAATGACAGTGTATTATAAAGGTATATAAAGACAGTGTGTATAATAAGGTATATAGTGAGTGTATAATAAGGTATATAGTGACAGTGTGTATAATAAGGTATATAGTGACAGTGTATATTATAAGGTATATAGTGACAGTGTATATTATAAGGTATATAGTGACTGTGTGTATAAGGTATATAGTGACAGTGTGTATAATAAGGTGTGACGAGACCAATCTCGCCACATTGCATTGGAGAAGCCTGGTTGCTCGCCTGCTGCCTTTGGACTATGGCCCCCTTTTAAAAGACTTTATTTTTCCATGCAGAAAAGCCATACTCATGCTTTTCTGCCGGTTGTTCGGTAGTTTCAATCTACCGAACAACCGTACGAATGACTGGACCACCTGGGAGCTGGAGTGTGCCGGCAATTAACCTCCCTGAAGCTGCGGTTAACCGCAGCTTAATTGATGAACGCTGGGTGGCCGCCGTTCGTATCCCGAACACGAGGTCGCGGCCATTTTAAACCATACGAATGAACAGCGGTGTTCGCCTCTATTTTCATGGAACTAAAATCGAACACAGTTTTGCGCGAACACCGCTGAAGCCGCCGACCTCCCTTCTTGTTCGGTGAAAGCACACGAATGACCCGGTGTTCGGTATTTTTGTGTGAATGTCTTATACCCTAGATAGGAATCCCATGGAGCCCATTCGTATGAAACTGACTGTAAAGACTTTGGCTCCATGGCGATTGAACTGTATTCGTGTAGTCTGAGTGCCATTCACCTAATAATGTGCACCCAGACCTGAGCTATCTGGGGATGTGTTACATGCCTGTGTTTAATGTAGTAAATGTTACTCTATGTATTTTAAAGTATAATGCTGTTTTTGTGTTCCCACGTGTGTAATGGAGTTTTGCCTTTGTCTTGGGAGATAATTGAGCTACTTCCCAATTATCTCCCAGGGCAGAGGGGAGGAAGCCAGGATGCATTGTGGGAATATACTGTGACTGTGTGTCCTTTTTGTATACTTGTCTGTCCCTTGTCACAGTCCCCCATTTGGTCCCCTAGGGGAGTGTCCACCAGGTGGGAGACCTGCATAAAAGCTGGGCAGGTAGCCCTCATTAAACAGACCACTGCTTGACCCTCAACACGGAGCCTTGTCTCGTTCTTGGGGGGATTCACTGTATGCTGTTAGGGACTGATTGCCAGGAGTGTAAGCTGTTCGTCTGCTTTTCCTGTTCGTCTGCTAGCAGCTATTTGGGAGGTTCCAGTTCGGAGTTGGAGTGCTATTTTGTATCCAGTTCGTGAGTTTTGGTGTTCTGCAGTAGCTGTGCCTGTATCTCTGGAAAGGGGGCCGATCGCCTAAACGGTTTTTACCCCTTGTGTGCAAAACAGTCCGTTACAATTATCCCACCGCTACCACCAATTGTAACGGACCGTTTTGCACAAAAGGGGAAAAAACCGCTTAGACGATAATCCCCCTTTCAGAGTCAGGCACAGCTACTGTAGAACCACCAAAACTCACGAACCGCCAATAAGTGAATGCTCCAAACTCCCGAACGGCATACAAGGAAATAAGGTAGCACTTCAAATAAACGAACAGGAACCATACGAATAGCTGCTAGCAGGCGAACAGGAAAAGCTTCCAAGCGGCTTACACTCCTGGCAATCAGTCCTTAGCAGCATACAGTAAATCCCCCCAAGAACGAGACAAGGCTCCGTGTTGAGGGTCAAGCAGTGGTCTGAGGTGCTGGCACACCCAGCCTGGTTTTTATTACAGTGTTTCAAATACAGAACCACCCACAGGGAGGGATAAAACAACCAATCATATCACAGTTACATCCCACATATTCCCTCCCCTTATCCTGAGAGGAAACTCAATTATACAAACAGTTAAAACATACTTTCTACCCAACTTTCATAACTCCAAAACCATACATCACATTCACATAAAATTACATATTCACAATCAATCCATTCAGGCGAACAACATATTAAAAAAATGGCCTGAATCAGACCAGGGGTTCAAAAGTTAGTAAAAAGTCCTTTGTGACTAAATGAAGCATGGCTTTCTGGCCCAAACCAGTTTGAGTCTTCTATCCTGGAGATAAGTAATTCAATTATCTCCCAGGACAGACACAAGACTCCATTAAGCACATGGTTGCAAAAAGACACAAAACACTTTAAATACATAAAGTCACATTTATTACATAAAACACAGACATGTAACATATCCCCAGATAGCTCAGGTCCGAGCGCACATTATTAAGCGAATGGCGCTCAGACCACACAAATACAGTTTAATCGCCATGGAGCCAAAGTCTTTACAGTCAGGTTCATACGAATGGGCTCCATGGGATTCCTATCTGGGGTATAACACATTCAAACAAATCTACCGAACCCCAGGCAGAAAAGCACGAATGAAGCTTTTCTGCAGGTAAAAAATATGTTTTTAACAGGGGGCCATAGTCCAAAGGCAGCAGGCGAGCAACCAGGCTTCTCCAATGAAATGTGGCGAGATTGGTCTTGTCACATAAGGTATATAATGACAGTGTGCATAATAAGATATATAATGACAGTGTGCATAATAAGGTATATAGTGACAGTGTATATTATAAGCTATATAGTGACAGTGTGTATAAGGTATATAAAGACAGTGTGTATAATAAGGTATATAATGACAGTGTGCATAATAAGGTATATAGTGACAGTGTATTATAGTGACAGTGTATATTATAAGCTATATAGTGACAGTGTGTATAAGGTATATAAAGACAGTGTGCATAATAAGGTATATAGTGACAGTGTATAATAAGGTATATAGTGACAGTGTGTATAATAAGGTATATAGTGACAGTGTATATTATAAGGTATATAGTGACAGTGTGTATAAGGTATATAAAGACAGTGTGCATAATAAGGTATATAATGACAGTGTATTATAAAGGTATATAAAGACAGTGTGTATAATAAGGTATATAGTGACAGTGTATAATAAGGTATATAGTGACATTGTATTATAGTGACAGTGTATTATAAGGAATATAGTGACAGTGTATTATAATGATAGTGTGTATAATAAGGTATATAGTGACAGTGTATTATAATGATAGTGTGTATAATAAGGTATATAGTGAGTGTATTATAGTGACAGTGTGTATAATAAAGTATATAGTGACAGTGTATTATAATGATAGTGTGTATAATAAGGTATATAATGACAGCTTGTTATGTAACGACTCACCTCCTGTCTCTGGGTTGATTATTATGGTACAGTGCTCGCTCTCACTATCAGCCAATCAGCTTTCTCTTTACAGTCACAGCGCGATGCACGGATTGTACCTGGTCTCTGATTGGTGGATTTCCCCAGCAGCGGGCCAGCTATCAAATTCCTCTACCTCGTGAAAAATCCCCCTACACTCGTCACTTCCGGTGAGGGAAATCAGCTGGATCCTCCTGCTACTCCTCCACAGCCAGGTCATGGAAGGTAAGTAACACAGCCAAGTCATGGAAGGTAGGTAACACAGCCAGGTCCTGGAAGGTAACACAGCCAGGCCCTGGAAGGTAAGTAACACAGCCAGCTCCTGGAAGGTAAGTAACACAGCCAGGTCCTGGAAGGTAAATAACACAGTCGGGTCCTGGAAGGTAAGTAACACAGCCAGGTCCTGGAAGGTAACACAGCCAGGTCTTGGAAGGTAAGTAACACGGCCGGGTCCTGGAAGGTAAATAACACGGCCGGGTCCTGGAAGGTAAATAACACACAGTCAGGTCCTGGAAGGTAAGTAACACAGCCAGGCCCTGGAAGGTAAGTAACACAGCCAGCTCCTGGAAGGTAAGTAACACAGCCAGGTCCTGGAAGGTAACACAGCCAGGTCCTGGAAGGTAACACAGCCAGGTCCTGGAAGGTAAGTAACACAGCCAACTCCTGGAAGGTAAGTAACACAGCCAGGTCCTGGAAGGTAAGTAACACAGCCAGCTCCTGGAAGGTAAGTAACACAGCCAGGTCCTGGAAGGTAAGTAACACAGCTGGGTCCTGGAAGGTAACACAGCCGGGTCCTGGAAGGTAAGTAACACAGCCAGGTCCTGGAATGTAAGTAGCACAGCCAGATCCTGGAAGGTAACACAGCCAGGTCCTGGAAGGTAACACAGCCAGGTCCTGGAAGGTAAGTAACAAAGGCCAGGTCCTGGAAGGTAAGAACACAGCCAGGCCCTGGAAGGTAAGTAACACAGCCAGCTCCTGAAGGTAAAATACAGCCAGGTCCTGGAATGGGCACAGCCAGGTCCTGGAAGGTAAGTAACACAGCCAGCTCCTGGAAGGTAAGTAACACAGCCAGGTCCTGGAAGGTAAGTAACACAGCCAGCTCCTGGAAGGTAAGTAACACAGCCAGGTCCTGGAAGGTAAGTAACACAGCCAGGTCCTGGAAGCTAAGTAACACAGCCGGGTCCTGGAAGTAAGTAACACAGCCGGGTCCTGGAAGGTAAGTAACACAGCCAGGTCCTGGAAGGTAAGTAACACAGCCAGGTCCTGGAAGGTAACACAGCCAGGTCCTGGAATGGTAACACAGCCAGGTCCTGAAGCTAAGTAACACAGCCAGGTCCTGGAAGGTAAGTAACACAGCCAGGTCCTGGAAGCTAAGTAACACAGTCCTGGAAGTAACACAGCCAGGTCCTGGAATGTAAGTAACACAGTCAGGTCCTGGAAGGTAAGTAACACAGCCGGGTCCTGGAAGGTAAGTAACACAGCCAGCTCCTGGAAGGTAAGTAACACAGCCAGCTCCTGGAAGGTAAGTAACACAGCCAGCTCCTGGAAGGTAAGTAACACAGCCAGGTCCTGGAATGTAAGTAACACAGCCGGGTCCTGGAAGCTAAGTAACACAGCCGGGTCCTGGAATGTAAGTAACACAGCCGGGTCCTGGAAGGTAACACAGCCAGGTCCTGGAAGGTAAGTAACACAGCCAGGTCCTGGAAGCTAAGTAACACAGCCGGGTCCTGGAAGGTAACACAGCCAGGTCCTGGAATGTAAGTAACACAGTCAGGTCCTGGAAGGTAAGTAACACAGCCGGGTCCTGGAAGGTAAGTAACACAGCCAGCTCCTGGAAGGTAAGTAACACAGCCAGCTCCTGGAAGGTAAGTAACACAGCCAGCTCCTGGAAGGTAAGTAACACAGCCAGGTCCTGGAATGTAAGTAACACAGCCAGGTCCTGGAAGGTAAGTAACACAGCTGGGTCCTGGAAGGTAACACAGCCAGGTCCTGGAAGGTAAGTAACACAGCCAGGTCCTGGAAGCTAAATAGCACAGCCGGGTCCTGGAAGGTAACACAGCCAGGTCCTGGAAGGTAAGTAACACAGCCGGGTCCTGGAAGGTAACACAGCCAGGTCCTGGAAGGTAACACAGCCAGGTCCTGGAATGTAAGTAACGCAGCCAGGTCCTGGAAGGTAAGTAACACAGCCGGGTCCTGGAAGGTAAGTAACACAGCCAGCATCTGGAAGGTAAGTAACACAGCCAGCATCTGGAATGTAAGTAACACAGCCAGGTCCTGGAAGGTAAGTAACACAGCCAGGTCCTGGAAGGTAAGTAACACAGCCGTGTCCTGGAAGGTAACACAGCCAGGTCCTGGAAGGTAAGTAACACAGCCGTGTCCTGGAAGGTAACACAGCCAGGTCCTGGAAGGTAAGTAACACAGCCAGGTCCTGGAAGGTAACACAGCAAGGTCTTGGAAGGCAAGTAACACAGCCAGGTCCTGGAAGGAAAGTAAAGCTAGTTTTACACTTTCATTATAGTTTGTGCATTCACTAAGCTTAGGCACACAGGCCATTTAGGGTTAAGTGAGGGTTCAAATTAGGGTTTAATACAATAACAGTAATGGAAGGATTGTGTAACATTATGAGTGCCAGCTATGGCTTGTTTGTTAACATGGTATCTACCTCTCAATGCCAGTTACTCAAAATCTAGTTTAACCCAATGTGTGCCAGCCATTGAGAATACATACATACACACTATTGTGTATAACCCTGGGAGTGCTGGTTACATGTGCATGGTCTTGCGTTGAATCTTAATTTAATTAGTGTATACCTTTGATTAATTAGGACCTGGGTTTGAGCAATATCCAATATGAGGGCCTCGTGCCCAGAGACATTTTCAGATTTTTTGGAGGCTGCCGACTACAATAACCTTAATATCTGCTACTCAGTCAATATCGAAGACTGTGCCTGAAATATTGCAACATAGACGGATAAAGTTTATTTTCAATATTTCTTCAGGGGGCAATTGTGCAAATTGCAACAAACTTCCTACTATTTTGATCAATATATATAGGGTGAGGTAGAGGGAAAAAAATACCTACAAAATTCAATGTATGACAAAAAAAAGAAATTAGACCTGTGATGCATAAACTTCACACTGTAGTCCCAACAGTGTAATTGCAACAAACAAGAGTCCTGCGCATCCAGTATAACTGTGCACACCCAGGTGCTACCGCAGTTTGAGGACAAAATTCAAACAAACGTTTTGGGCAGCAGCCCTTCCTCAATGCTAATGTCTTGGCAATCTTCTTTTAGCCTAGGCCATCTTTATGTAGAGCAACAATTCATTTTTTTCAGATCCTCACAGAGTTCTGTCATGAGGTGCCATGTTGACCTTCCAGTGATGAGTTCGAGAGATAACACCAAATTTAACACACCTGCTTCCTGTTCACACTTGAGACCTTGTAACACTGAGTCACATGACACTGAGGAGGGAAAATAGCTAATTGGGCCCAATTTGAACATTTCCACTTAGGGGTGTACTCACGTTTGTTGCCAACGGTTTAGACTTTAATGGCTGGGAGTCTAGTTATTTTGAGGTGACAGCAAATTTAGTTATACAGGCTGTACACTTACAACTTTACATTGTAGCAGAGTGTCATTGCTTCAATGTTGTCACAAAATATTTACAAAAATGTGAGGGGTGTACTCACTTTTGTGAGATACTGTAAATAGTACTAAGTTAATTATATAGAAAATTCATGGATATAAATATCCATGAAGAAATGTCATATTGTTTACCAACGTTAGTGGAATATGTGTAATATTACTATGTGCTACACACAGTTCACACAAGAAAAAGTTCCATTGTATAGACAGGTGAAGATGAGTTTAGGACGTTTCAAAAATCAAATTTAATGGCAAAATTACAGACACAAGTCTAGTAAAAACCAACCAAAACGCTTTGAAGATTGACTTGGTGACGAATGGTTATCCATAAAGATAACGCATCACGAAATTCAGTTAACCCATTATACAAAAAAGTAAATGGACCCCCTGACAAATTTTCTGTGATGTAATTGCGCCATCTACCGCCCAAAATCTAGATGATAGTCTGTAGGGAAGACACGCCCACCTTACTCTATTGGTCACTATCAACTAGTGACATATAGAGAACTTCTCCTTTAAAAATTAAAGGACAAAAGGATAGAGAGTAACACTCACACTGAGGACGGACTCACACTTACCATCTGGAGCCAAAGCTGGGCACACCTTATTCTTTGTATCTTTCCAACTAACATTTAACTTGAAAGTCTTTAAAATTCAGAACTCTGAAACTTTCCTATCTCCCACAATTCTCCTTCATACACCTTTACGGAATATCCTTAAGCATGAAAGAAATTCTACCAAAGATCTGGTAATTATACTGGTTTTATTAAATTAATTAAAAATTACTTGATTTTACTAAAAGGCAGAATATACTTGGATAAAAGCTGGTGACTCCAACATTAAGGAGTCATGATTAATTAAAAATATATAGAATTCGTAATTCCATTCCTGCAGGTGGACCAATGAACTCTATATTACTTTTAACTTGAAATAGAATCAGGCAATTATCCTGATACATTAGCTTAAAGGGACACTCCAGGCACCCAGACTACTTCTGCCAATTGGAGTGGTCTGCGTGCCAACTCCCACTACCCTTAACCCTGCAAGTGTAATTACTGCAGTTTTCATAAACTGCAATATTTACCTTGCAGGGTTAAGTCCTCCTCTAGTGGAGAGCGGGAACCTGCAGTGCCAAGAAAACTTTGTTTTCCTGGCACTAGAGAGTCCCTTTAAGTAATTTGGAAATAGTAAATCTTAATTAGGAAAATTAAAATTCTGTAAAATGTAAAATCTGGTTAGAATTTTTTCTTATTGGATGGACATAGGAATGATCAAAGTATCCAGTATGAGAAATACTAGATCATTGCCTATGAGAATTGTAGCCAGCAGTGAATGAGTTAATTCAGTGTGATTTGACGTCAGCCAAGTTTTTATTGCTTTACCTGTGCAACAGATTTCAAAGTGGTGTCCTGTTGTAAATCTTGTTGCAAACTGCATACATGTCGGTATAACTGTTGCTATTTAGCAGTCTGTAATTTGTATTAAATCACAGCCATATTGTATACTTATGTTATATCTAAATATTCACTGATCATCATGTAGGTTACATATTATTGTCACAATAAATATTTTATAATTAGTGATGTGTGAAATAAAATCCTCTAGTGAAACATATTCCAGGATCTATGAGAATTAAAATAGTGGGTAGTTCTCAGCTTTAAATTAATATAAAATCAGGGAAATAGTGCCAAGATATCAATTTTGATATAATAAAATTTTGATAATATGTTATGAAAAATATTTGTCACCCCATAAATAACATCACACGACTCTAGCATAATTACAATGTGGTCTAGTGTTGGTGTATGGTGCTTCAACTATGCCTTTAACATCTCTATGCCAGCTCTGCATCTACCATTTTTAAATAAAATAACTTGGTAGTGAAAAGGCTAAATTATACACCTGTCTAGGATCCATTCATTGAGAAAAATCAGACAGATGGTCATCTGTACCTCATCTCTCCTTTTATTGGAAAACAAGACTTAGAAAACAGGTCAGAAACAAAAATACTCAACAGAAGTGGAATGTAACAATCAGACAGAACAAGAACAGTAAAAGATCTATAAATGCTTGGTTTATTATAGGCCTGAAGACAATACTAAGCTCAACAGGTAGACAGAATGACCTCTATATTCTGTTCATCACTTCCTCTTACATGGTTTACAAAATAACTTTTATTCCCATCAAATAAATATTAAAAAATAAAAGAATGGACAGATTTCTGTTTACGGTAGGGTTTTGTCCTGAAATGCATAAAATGTGACTTCGTAGCTTGGTCATGTGACAAAAAAAAAAAAAACACACAAAAACAACCTTTAGATGTAAATTTGTTAAATTACCAAAAACATTTAAAATTGTGTATGGAGTTGAAAAAAAAAAAAAAAAAAAAATCATATACATTAAGTTGCAAGTTTGTTTCGATTGTTATATTTTGACTCCTACTGCGCTAACAAATGCACAGATCCAGATTAACTCAATATAGGAAATGTAAAAAAAAAAAAATTTTTTAGAAAGACGTTTGGTTTTCATTAAATTTAAGAGTCTGGCTCTTTGGATCTAAATAAATCTGTTCTTTAAGCAGATATTTCACTATATCTCACACAATCACATTAACTTGAAGGTTCATCAATGACCTTAGATTACCATTATAAAACACATAATAAAATTATTATGTGGACCAGTTGTCTCCATGCCAGTGGACACAGCACGTATTCCACACCAGTGAAGGTGATGGAACTTGGGACGTTTCACATTTGTAACAGTTTATACATTCATGGCTTTCATTTTAAAATCCCTGGCTTGCTGACATTTTTTTCTTAGGAAAGAACGGATACACCTAAATCTTTTATGCAAAAAAATGTGATGCTCAAAATGAAATATACATTTTATGGTATAGAAAGCAAGAGTGTAGAAGCGCCCTCTAAGGTGTAATATTGGTAATGCACAAAACTATTGCCTATGTGAGATTTAGAAATAATGTTAATTGCGCAAGTAGGATTAAGGCATTTCTCTTAATGCAGGTAAACGAAGAATGGCTTTAGTGTGGATTTTAATATGATCTTGGCTACAATGTAGTCAAGAACAAATATTATCCTGACACTTTACCAACACTATGTTTAAGTCTCTTATTTTGCAGATTACTGAAAAGCATAGTTTGATGATTTCAGGACAAAATCCTTTTTAACCCCTTTCCCAACCCAAAACAGCTGCAGCGTGTTCGACCAGCATTTATCACTTGGATGAAAAAAACAAACAAAAAGGAAGCAGACACTGGCCTTCGGGGCAGGAAAAGCATAAACATTCCTTTATAGCAAAGGTAACCAATCTGTGGCTTGACAGCAGGGGGAAGCTAACAATCTAATAGCGGTTTTGGGACTACAGGTTTCATGATACCATGCCAGCTTAAGACAAAAGGATCATGGGAAATGGCTACATAATCTACAGCTACTGTTCCATTCCAATGATCCTTCATCACCCTGGGCAAGGTCATGGAATTAGGTTTAGAGGCTAGGGAGCTACAGGTTGGTTACCACGGTATTTTTTTTTTACAAGACTTTTGTTTTCTTCCCTCTTATCCTGTCAGGAAGACCCTGATGTGAACTGTTACTTTGTCTTTTTCTCAGCAGATAAACTATCATGGAGCTTGGAGACTTCTGGCTCAAACATGTCCATCACTAACGTGCCATTCTCATCATAGAATTTGGCGATGGATTTTGTGAACTCAGCGTCCCGATGATTCTTTGTTTTGCCATTGATATAGGTGACTTTCAGGGTGTATTTGTCATCAAACCTACAAGAATCAGAAAGGAAGATATTAAAGACATTAATCTGTGTCTAGGATATCCTGCATGCAGACTTGCTTCAATCCAATTACCGTTTCAGGCTGGAGGAGAGATGCCAAATGTCATCAGGGTCCATTCCTGCTGGATCCTTTCTGTGAGCGACCAGGAAAATGCTCTTTTCCTTGTATGAAGTGTAGACAGTGAGGACACCCATCATCAAGAAATAGGTTCAAGGTGTTAAGGTATAAAACATACATTCTTAAAATTCACTGGATTATCCAAATCTACTGCACAATGTGCCTATCATGTTACACTGTGTTACCCCATTTGCCAGAGCATGCATCATTCAACATTGCTTTATATGATAAAAGGTGAAGGATTAACAAATGCATTGTGCTGGCAGAACTGCTATAAATGCTTACAGCCCACTGGAAAAACAGATCCAACCATTACTGTGAAGTCTACTATTACTATCCTTTAATTGATTGATTCCGATCAGGTTTATTCTATACAGTTTTGTGCTGTATAGATTAGGTAATTGAATAAATCCCAATAGTGGATTAGGATATTTTACAACCATTTTTCGTTGCACCGTAGACAATGACATGACCCCAGAAAAGCAGTAGAGTGTAGGACACCCAGCTAGGATATTAACATTTTACATCGTAAGAAGTCTCAAATATTCTACACACAACACCAACAGATATTGTTATAAAGGATATGATATGACACAAAAAGCTAACACAGGCTTGGATTCTGGGAACGGATGCAAATAATCCCACACCAAGGCAACAATGGCGAAGACGCAGGAGATGGTGCAGATTATTAGACGGCCATCGATCAGGCAGAAGTTTTCCACATATTTATACTTTTCTAGAAGGACCTGGTTAACAAAAACAAAACAAACAAAAAATGAAGTCTGCCAATACAGGAAATTTTTTTTTTTTTTTTTTCTCCCCCTACCTGTCTTTGGCAGAGTTGAACAGATTTTCTGGAACCGCCTTGATCATTTTAAAAAAAAAGGCCATTGAAAGTGTTACTCCAAGCACCCAGCTGTAATGTTTATGATGCCTGGACTAACATAATCCAGTTTCCCCAATAATGGGAAGAAATGTTCTGCACATGGTTCGCATCTAGCTTCTTGCAGTATTAGCAAGCTTGGAACTTTTGTTCCTGTTCGACAAATGATGCCACAATAACGCTGAAAACGGTTTCATAACAAAACGCTCCACACAGGAGTCTCCAGGCACCATGACTACTTCAAATCAAAGATGTAACATTTTAAGGACAATTTTGTAAGCAGAAGAATTGCAAACCCTGGATAACTCTTAGAGTGTAACTAGCATGGAGTCAGGGTAATTGCCCAAAAGTCTGGACAAGCATTTTGGATTAGACATTGTGAGATCTCTGGTCTACGTCATCTGCACAGAAACAAATTGTATAATCCTTTCCTTGAACTAAGAATGTAAAAGATTCACTTTGTTTTTTTAAATAAATAAAATGTTTATAACATTTGCAGCAGCAGCAACCACCAGCATAGCTGCTAAGGCAGATGAAAGAGGGACATTTTTCAATTTGTAAAAAAATTGAGAAGTGAACATATTAGCAATTTTTGCCTATTTCAAGTTAATATCTGTTTCATGCATAATCATTAACTTAAGAAGTTCACTACCAATGCATGTGTAGCAAAAGACGAGTCAAAATGGTTGAGAACCACTGTACCTTTTTAGCAGCATCATCCAAAGAATTTTTAACTGCAGAGCCATCCCATTTGTCAACTTTTACTGGCTTGTCATCAATTTTCCACTGTAATCACAGATGGTACAATGAGTATTAGTAAGGCAACCATGTTTTAAACATTTAAATTATTGAACAATGCAGTGTTATCACAAAACTCCCCCATCATCTTAAGGTTTCTGGCATATAGAAAAAAAAAAAAAAATATATCCAAAAATATTAAGTCATATGAAATATATATCAAGGTTATTCGAATATGACTGATAATCCCACAAGCTGTTCCCAGAGCAGAAGTGGACATTACTGCACAAGTACAGGAATGTTTGCAGTCTCTTTTTGTGGTTTTAAAAACAGCCTTGTTCAAGCTCATAACAATATGCATATTTTAACATATATCCAATGAAATAAAGTAAATGTTATAGGTGGCTTTAAGAGTTAACAGGGTAAACACAACAAACGTCCCAATATACATAATATCTAGACATGCACAGAGAGCTTTCTTGGCTTTTAGGATTCATTATTCAGCCCTGAAATCCAATCTAGTGTCATCATAAATAAAAATGAACCACAGAAAGATCTGTTAAAACACAATAAATTGGCATAGAACCTTTAACATAATTACAATTGTAAATATCAGTTATGATAACTTAAATGTTGCATAGCCTAGAGCAAAGTGACAGCTGTTACTATTTAGCAGTGATAGCGTTGCGTAATATTCATCTTAAACCCCCCCCCCCAAAAAAAAAAAAAACAGCATTTACACATTTTACATGACAGCAGCACAATAAAATATGTACAATTTGACAGGTTTTCTTTTTTTGTAAACAATCTGGCCCAGCATAGCAGAAAGAATATATATATAAAAAAAATTATACCACAAGTTGATATTACTCAAGTCTCTCATATCCCAAGCATATTGCAATCGCTTCTTTTGGATCATTTTCAGAAACAGATGTGTGGAAGGTTAACTGGATGGCTCGGATTCTTGTTTTCAATCTAGATTACCATTTACTATATTCACTAAAATAAATGCTATTCTGCTATAATCACTAAATGATAGCTGTAGGAGCCTGAAAGTGACCTGTATTAATGCAAGAATACTGCATATAGACCAATGGCTCTGTTTAACCCCTTAAGGACACATGACATGTGTGACATGTCATGATTCCCTTTTATTCCAGAAGTTTTGTCCTTAAGGAGTTAAATCCTTCAATTAAACAGACATCACCACTCTAAAAAAGGCATTATTACAAATAGTGTATGCTCTTCATGGCTTTCTGGCACAAACAGTGAATACAATATAACGGTACAGTAGGATAGAGAAATAAAAAAAATTAAAAAACTTTCTATTAAAACATCCTGCCCCCCCCCTTTTTTTTCTTCAAGTGCTGAATTGTAAAATACTGTCCTTTGTAGTGTGACAGTTCCAAGCAAGGTGCTATATGTCATGCAGCCTTGGCCTCCAGAGGTCCTCTTCCAAAAACTAGATTCCTCTAGAAGAGATTGGGATTTACCCACTGATCTCCCAGCTGTTGTGGACTACAGCTCTCATGGTGCTCAGCCAACAAAGCATCAAGAGCAGCACAAAAAAAGATGGGAGGGCCAAAATGTTAACCCCCCAACCTTCTCTGTGTTGGGCTGCACATGAAAAGAGCTTCCAAGCAATATGCAGCATTGCTGGGAAACCAAGTCACCCTGACAGCTGCTCTGAGAGCCCTCGCGCAGCACATGAAAGCTGCATACAGCAGGGAGGGGGCAGCACATGAAAGCTGCATACAGCAGGGAGGGGGCAGCACATGAAAGCTGCATACAGCAGGGAGGGGGCAGCACATGAAAGCTGCATACAGCAGGGAGGGGGCAGCACATGAAAGCTGCATACAGCAGGGGGGGAGAGCACATGGAAGCTGCATACAGCAGGAGGGGGAGAGCACATGGAAGCTGCATACAGCAGGAGGGGGAGAGCACATGGAAGCTGCATACAGCAGGAGGGGGAGAGCACATGGAAGCTGCATACAGCAGGAGGGGGCAGCACATGAAAGCTGCATACAGCAGAGGGGGGCAGCACATGAAAGTTGCATACAGCAGGGGGGGCAGCACTTTCCCTGCATGGCCCGGCTCGGTGAGGGAGTGATACCCAGGAGGGGAGCGGAGAGCCTGGCCCCTGTGGATGTTACACTGCTGCTACCACCTCTGCTGGGAGGCCGCACCCTGCCAGACTACCCTCCACGAGCCAGCATGTAATCTGACAGCCCGCGCTCTCCCACACCCCATAATGACCCCAGTGCCCCCACATGTAGCCCCCCCCGGCCCCGGTTCTCACCCCCCCATTTACTTTCTCCAGGATGCCGCCGTTCCTGCCTCCTCTCGCCGCCATCTTGTCTCATCCCGCTGACTCCTGACCTGGCGGCTGCTGATTGGCTACCGCCGGCCCGTGACGTCTCCCATTCGCCGCTTGTCAGAGCTAATGAGAGAATCGGCTCTCGCGATGGCGTGGAACGGGGGGGTGACGTCACCACGCCGAGTAGTGGCGCATGCCGGGAGTTGTAGTTTTTTTTCTTCATTGACTCAGATTATGGAGTGAGTAAAATGATAGCGTGCTTGGTTGCTAGGAAACCAGACATGGCGCAGGGAGCTGGGACTTTGGGGGTTCTTTAATCCCCAGTGAGGAGCCTGGTCGCCCAGGGACAGAAGGTAAAGCATTGTAAGGAATAAAGGAGCACATATCATTACTCCATAGCTCAATATTAAAAGGGAGTGTGACATGGGAGCAGAATTAGGGGAAGCTTTATGGATACATACCTCCCAAGCAATAATACCCCCAGTAACAGAGCTCCACAGCAACAATACTCCCAGTAACACAGCAATAATACCCCCAGTAACAGAGCTCCACAGCAATAATACTCCCAGTAACAGAGCCCCACAGCAATAATACTCCCAGTAACAGAGCCCCACAGTAATAATACCCCCAGTAACAGAGCTCCACAGCAATAATACTCCCAGTAACAGAGCCCCACAGCAATAATACCCCCAGTAACAGAGCTCCACAGCAATAATACTCCCAGTAACAGAGCTCCACAGTAATAATACCCCCAGTAACAGAGCTCCACAGCAACAATACTCCCAGTAACACAGCAATAATACCCCCAGTAACAGAGCTCCACAGCAATAATACCCCCAGTAACAGAGCTCCACAGTAATAATACCCCCAGTAACAGAGCTCCACAGCAATAATACTCCCAGTAACACAGCAATAATACTCCCAGTAACCCCCACAGCAATAATACTCCCAGTAACAGAGCTCCACAGCAATAATACTCCCAGTAACAGAGCCCCACAGCAATAATACTCCCAGTAACAGAGCCCCACAGCAATAATACTCCCAGTAACAGAGCCCCACAGCAATAATACTCCCAGTAACAGAGCTCCACAGCAATAATACTCCCAGTAACAGAGCCCCACAGCAATAATACTCCCAGTAACAGAGCCCCACAGCAATAATACTCCCAGTAACAGAGCCCCACAGCAATAATACTCCCAGTAACACAGCCCCACAGTAATAATACTCCCAGTAACAGAGCCCCACAGTAATAATACTCCCAGTAACAGAGCCCCACAGCAATAATACCCCCAGTAACAGAGCTCCACAGCAATAATACTCCCAGTAACAGAGCCCCACAGCAATAATACCCCCAGTAACAGAGCTCCACAGCAATAATACTCCCAGTAACAGAGCTCCACAGTAATAATACCCCCAGTAACAGAGCTCCACAGCAACAATACTCCCAGTAACACAGCAATAATACCCCCAGTAACAGAGCTCCACAGCAATAATACCCCCAGTAACAGAGCTCCACAGTAATAATACCCCCAGTAACAGAGCTCCACAGCAATAATACTCCCAGTAACACAGCAATAATACTCCCAGTAACACAGCCCCACAGCAATAATACTCCCAGTAACAGGGCCCCACAGCAATAATACTCCCAGTAACAGAGCCCCACAGTAATAATACTCCCAGTAACACAGCAATAATACTCCCAGTAACACAGCCCCACAGCAATAATACTCCCAGTAACAGAGCTCCCCAGCAATAATACTCCCAGTAACAGAGCCCCACAGCAATAATACCCCCAGTAACAGAGCTCCACAGTAATAATACCCCCAGTAACAGAGCTCCACAGCAATAATACTCCCAGTAACACAGCAATAATACTCCCAGTAACACAGCCCCACAGCAATAATACTCCCAGTAACAGGGCCCCACAGCAATAATACTCCCAGTAACAGAGCCCCACAGTAATAATACTCCCAGTAACACAGCAATAATACTCCCAGTAACACAGCCCCACAGCAATAATACTCCCAGTAACAGAGCTCCCCAGCAATAATACTCCCAGTAACAGAGCCCCACAGCAATAATACTCCCAGTAACACAGCCCCACAGCAATAATACTCCCAGTAACACAACCCCACATAATAATACTCCCAGTAACAGAGCCCCACAGTAATAATACCCCAGTAACAGAGCTCCCCAACAATAATACTCCCAGTAACAGAGCCCCACAGCAATAATACTCCCAATGTAACACAGCAATATACTCCCAGTATAGAGCCCCACAGTAACAAGAGCCCCACATTTAGTAATAATACTCCCAGTAACAGAGCCCCACAGCAATAATACTCCCAGTAACAGAGCCCCACAGCAATAATACTCCCAGTAACAGAGCCCCACAGCAATAATACTCCCAGTAACACAGCAATAATACTCCCAGTAACAGAGCCCCACAGCAATAATACCCCCAGTAACAGAGCCCCACAGCAATAATACTCCCAGTAACACAGCAATAATACTCCCAGTAACACAGCCCCACAGCAATAATACTCCCAGTAACAGAGCTCCCCAGCAATAATACTCCCAGTAACAGAGCCCCACAGCAATAATACTCCCAGTAACACAGCCCCACAGCAATAATACTCCCAGTAACACAGCCCCACAGCAATAATACTCCCAGTAACAGAGCTCCCCAGCAATAATACTCCCAGTAACAGAGCCCCCCAGCAATAATACTCCCAGTAACAGAGCCCCACAGCAATAATACTCCCAGTAACAGAGCCCCACAGTAATAATACTCCCAGTAACAGAGCCCCACAGTAATAATACTCCCAGTTACAGAGCCCCACAGCAATAATACTCCCAGTAACACAGCAATAATACTCCCAGTAACAGAGCCCCACAGCAATAATACTCCCAGTAACAGAGCCCCACAGCAATAATACTCCCAGTAACAGAGCTCCCCAGCAATAATACTCCCAGTAACAGAGCCCCACAGCAATAATACTCCCAGTAACAGAGCCCCACAGCAATAATACTCCCAGTAACACAGCCCCACAGCAATAATACCCCCAGTAACAGAGCTCCACAGCAATAATACTCCCAGTAACAGAGCCCCACAGTAATAATACTCCCAGTAACAGAGCCCCACAGTAATAATACTCCCAGTAACAGAGCCCCACAGCAATAATACTCCCAGTAACAGAGCTCCACAGTAATAATACTCCCAGTAACACAGCCCCACAGCAATAATACTCCCAGTAACACAGCAATAAGACTCCGAGTAACAGAGCCCCACAGCAATAATACTCCCAGTAACAGAGCTCCACAGTAATAATACTCCCAGTAACACAGCCCCACAGCAATAATACTCCTAGTAACAGAGCCCCACAGCAATAATACTCCCAGTAACAGAGCCCCACAGCAATAATACTCCCAGTAACACAGCAATAATACTCCCAGTAACAGAGCCCCACAGCAATAATATTTCCAGTAACAGAGCCCCACAGTAATAATACTCCCAGTAACAGAGCCCCACAGTAATAATACTCCCAGTAACAGAGCCCCACAGCAATAATACTCCCAGTAACAGAGCTCCACAGTAATAATATACTCCCAGTAACAAGAGCCCCACAGTAATAATACTCCCAGTAACAAGAGCCCCACAGTAATAATACTCCAGTAACAGAGCCCCACAGCAATAATACTCCCAATGTACAGCAATAATACTCCCAGTAACAAAAGAGCCCCACAACAATATACTCACAGAGCCCCACAGCAATAATACTCCCAGTAACAGAGCCCCACAGCAATAATACTCCCAGTAACAGAGCCCCACAGCAATAATACTCCCAGTAACAGAGCCCCACAGCAATAATACTCCCAGTAACACAGCCCCACAGCAATAATACTCCCAGTAACAGAGCTCCACAGCAATAATACCCCCAGTAACAGAGCTCCACAGCAATAATACTCCCAGTAACAGAGCCCCACAGTAATAATACTCCCAGTAACAGAGCCCCACAGCAATAATACTCCCAGTAACACAGCCCCACAGCAATAATACCCCCAGTAACAGAGCTCCACAGCAATAATACCCCCAGTAACACAGCCCCACAGCAATAATACTCCCAGTAACAGAGCCCACAGCAATAATACCCCCAGTAACAGAGCTCCACATAATACTCCCAGTAACACAGCCCCACAGCAATAATACTCCCAGTAACAGAGCCCCACAGAAATAATACTCCCAGTAACAGAGCTCCACAGCAATAATACTCCCAGTAACAGAGCCCCACAGCGATAATACTCCCAGTAACAGAGCTCCACAGCAATAATACTCCCAGTAACAGAGCCCCACAGCAATAATACTCCCAGTAACAGAGCTCCACAGCAATAATACTCCCAGTAACAGAGCTCCACAGCAATAATACTCCCAGTAACAGAGCCCCACAGCAATAATACTCCCAGTAACAGAGCTCCACAGCAATAATACTCCCAGTAACAGAGCCCCACAGCAATAATACTCCCAGTAACAGAGCCCCACAGCAATAATACTCCCAGTAACAGAGCCACACAGCAATAATACTCCCAGTAACACAGCCCCACAGCAATAATACTCCCAGTAACACAGCCCCACAGTAATAATACTCCCAGTAATGTGTCTGAGTGTATAACAGAACTCCACAGCAATAATACTCACAGTAATGTGACTGAGTGTGTAACAGAGCCCCACAGCAATAATACTCCTAGTAATGTGTCTGAGTGTATAACAGAGCCCCAAAGCAATAATACTCCCAGTAACAGAGCTCCACAGCAATAATACTCCCAGTAATGTGACTGAGTGTGTAACAGAGCCCCACAGCAATAATACTCCCAGTAACAGAGCTCCACAGCAATAATACTCCCAATAATGTGACTGAGTGTGTAACAGAGCCCCACAGCAATAATACTCCCAGTAATGTGCCTGGGTGTATAACAGAGCTCCACGGTAATAATACTGCGAGTAATGTGTCTGAGTGAATAACAGAGCTCCACAGCAATAATACTCTGAGTAATGTGTCTGAGTGTATAACAGAGCTCCACAGCAATAATACTCCCAGTAATGTGTCTGAGTGTATAACAGAGCTCCACAGTAATAATACTCCCAGTAATGTGTCTGAGTGTATAACAGAGCTCCACAGCAATAATACTCCCAG